ATGTGAAGCTAATATTCAATCAATCTGTGAAATGAGAATATTAATTACTTGATATTATAATCCTATGATAGTATTGTAATAAGTAATATAACTTTTAAACTAGACACTAGACTGATCACACGTAATGTTAAAGTCACATGACACATTTCCTTTTTCTGATCCAATCAGAACCTTCCAGATCTGACGCAAGGCGTGGTTTTGTTGGTATTTGTATAATTTGCTTTTGTTGTCAAATTCTGATTTGACAGTAAATCAAAACATCCAAATTATAAAACTACGCCCCACGTCATCTTAACTTCAGTTCCAAGCGTTCTAGAGAAGTTATCGGAGTGGCCAATCCGTAACTTTCCTCTTAAAGCTGAAAGAACCTAACGACAAGCTGGATTAAATCTGTTGCATGGATTCAATCTGTTGCATGTTCCACCTGCAGCAACGGTTCCTTCAGAATAAAAGCTTAACCATCATGACCCCTTCAGGGTCTCACTGATGCCAATAAACTGTCGTGACCTGGGAGTAACTCAAGACTGGAAGTGTCAACAACCGCTGCATATCTACAGGTGTTGGTTTTAAGAAGGTCCAAGCTGGACCCCCGACATTCCAGATCTAAACGGGGACTTCCGTTGGGGTACGTAGACCGACAGATGGCGTCTCGATGTGTTATAATCTCCAAACCAAAGCTTAGAGCGAAACACCATTTCACTCCCATCAGAACTAATAGCTCTCTCTAATAGCTGGTTCTGAACATATTCCACACACACACACCATCCTCAGTCTTACTCCACCTTAGTTACATCATACACATAGTGTTTAGAGTTAGTCTTGTTCAAATTGTTTAGAAATACATTTTCTTAAACTTTAAAACTTGAATCTCTCTCTCTTGTCCCTGGGTTAATACGAAGTGTTTTCTAATCCCTGCGATAAAATTTCCGATCTTCTGGTTAAAGTGATATTCAAAGATCCATCAAATTGATTTCATATTTCCTATGGAATCTCACATTACTTTAGATGTAACTAACGAGTCGTTACAAAGGTTAAAATATAAGATGGTAAAATTTTGATAGAATAGAACGTATAAAGATAAAATTAATAAAATTTAATAAATCAGTAATAAAAATTATCTGTTAAAAGCTAAGCTAAAAGGTGAGTCTCTAAGATAATAAAACTCTGATTAAATAAAACATATAGAATAAAATGAATACAATAATAAATAAATGAATAATTGATAATAAAAGTAATCAGTTAAAAGGTTAGCTAAAAAGGTGGGTCTTGTGCCTGTTCTGAAAAACACGAACGTTCTCTGCAGCCCTGAGGTCCTCAGGCCGGCTGTTCCAGAGGCGAGGACGTAATAATGAAAAGACGCCACGCCGTGGGTGTGTGTCCTGACTTTAGGGATAACACGGAGACGGCTGCCAGACGAGTGCAGAGACCGCGAGGGTTCATACGGTAAAAGCAGTTCCGAAAGATAAGAAGGCCCAAGACCATTAAGACATTTAAAAACCATTAAAAGTATTTTTAAATCAATCCTGAAACATACGGGGAGCCAATGCAGTGATTGTAAAACTGGAGTAATGTGCTCCCGCCTCCTGGTCTTCATCAGGGCACGTGCTGCTGAGTTTTGTAGGAGTTGTAGACCTGAAGTACTCTTTTTTTTTTTTTTTGGGAAGACCAGAAAGCAGGGCATTGCAGTAGTCTATCCTACTGGTGATAAAAGCATGCATCAGCGTCTCCGTATTGGCGCGAGAGAGAATGGGGCGGACCCTGGCGATGTTCTTGAGATGATAAAAAACTTATTTTGGTGATGTGGGGGATTAAAGTCAGCTCAGAGTCAAAGGTAACACCCAGGTTCTTCACTTGTGAAGCTGGATTAAAAGACATTGATTGTAGTTTTGGTAAAAGTTTCTCTCTCTGGGCCTCAGGACCGATGACTAAAACTTCCAATTTTGTCTCGGTTGAGCTGGAGAAAGTTCTCTGCCATCCATGATTTGATGTCTAAAATGCAGTTATAAAGTGTGTCCATTGGCCGTGTGTCATCAGGAGACACAGAGATTTACAGCTGTGTATCATCAGCATAACTGTGGAAATTCACTCCGTGTCTCCTGATGACGCTGGCAAGAGGGAGCGTATAGAGGTTAAAAAGCACTGGGCCTAAAACTGAACCCTGGGGCACACCACATGTGATGATGTGGACCCCAGAGGAACAGGTATCCAAACTCACCATAAAAGTCCTGTCTGTGAGGTAGGATGTGAACTATCTATGTACAACACCAGAGAGGCCGATCCGTTTCAAACAAGTTAAAAGAATTGTGTGGTCTACTGTGTCAAAGGCAGCACTTAGATCCAGTAGAACCAACACCGGGCATCACCCTCCGGGCATCATAATTTACTCTAAAATCATTTAAAATCTTCAGGAGGGCTGTCTCCGTGCTGTGGTTCACCCTAAAACCAGAATGAAATTTCTCTAGGACATCATTAGTGTTAATAAAATTAAGTTGATTGAACACAAGCTTTTCTAAAATTTTGCTTAAAAATGGTAAGTTGGACATCGGTCGGAAGTTGTTTAAATCATTAAAATCTAAATTGCTCTTCTTCAACAGGGGCCTCACCACTGCCCGTTTAAAGGCGGCAGGAAAGGCCCCCGTCTGAAAGGAGCAATTCATCAGGGTTAAAACCTCATCTCCAAAAGAATCATAGAATCGTTTAAAACACCTAGTGGGAATAGGATCCAGGACACATGTGGTGGGCCTCACTGAGGAGAAAACTTTATCAAGACACTCAGCTTCAACCAGGACAAAACTGTCCAGTGTTTCCTCAGGTAGACACACACTCTCAGATGTGTTTAAAACCATGTTATGTTATGAGGATAAAATATTAGATATGATGGTGTCTACCTTCCCTCTTGTTGAGGCGGCTGACCGGAACTGCAGCCACAGGGTTGTCGGTGCCTGTCATGGTTGCAACACCTGAACCTGCTGGTGGACACCAGTAGTTAGGGATGCTATCAAGCTGAAGAAAGAGTCCTATCAGGTCTTTTTGGCCTGTGGGACTCCAGAGGCAGCTGATGGGTACTGGCAGTCCAAGTGGAATGCGGCTCAGGTGGTCATGAAGGCAGAAACCCGGTTGTGGGAGGAGTTCAGTGAGACCAGGGAGCAAAACTTCCATATGGCTTCGAGGAGATTCTGGTCCACCATCCAGTGCCTCAGGAGGAGAAAGTAGTGAGCTACCAACACTGTTTATAGTGTTAATGGTGTGCTGCTGACCTCCACTGGTCAATGATGGTGGGAGGAGGGAGATATAGAAGGGGTCTTGAATGTTGATCTCTGGGGGAGAGGTGGGGAATTGACTGTTGTGTGGTTGTTTTTAACCACAGCACTTTGAGTTGCACTTGTTGCATGAAAAGAGCTTCATAAGCAAAATTTGATTCAATTTGAAATGCTTTTAAAACAGGGTATCCGCGGGTCCTTAAAAAGTCTTAAAAAGTCTTAAATTTGCTTTTCCAAATTTAAGGCCTTGAAAATCCTTAAAAATGACAAATAATCCTTAAATCCAGTTTCCAAAGGTCTTAAATTACCAAAGACCCAAAAAACAAGATTATTTTATTTCTATAAAAATTTTCGTGAATTTCTTGTTAGTGTTCAGCATTTTTTGTGTACGATGTTGGCGTAAGCGGAACCGTACACATTCAGTCGGTTGTGAAAGGGGGCGGTTTTTAGATGAGCACATTAGCTGGTTAAGCTAGTGGGAGTTTGCGCCATGGGGAAGTGCAAGTTTAATGGTAACTGGATGGCTAATCCCACGCTCACGACGTGGTTAGCACCGGCTCCAGGCAATAGCTGGAACTTATAGCTTAAATTTAATTTTAAAAAAAGCTTAAATTTGGTCAAAGTGGCCTTAAAAAAGGTCTTAAAAAGTCTTAAATTTGCCTCCCTTAAACCTGCAGATACCCTGTAAAAATGACTGAAAAACATTTAATGTTCAAAACTTATTTAAAAATTAAACTTTCAGTTAGTTTTTGTTATGATTCATTCTCATAACAAAGCAACACAAAAATCCTCATTAAATTAATAAAGATGGAGATGTTTAAATAAAATTCAAGCTAAATGTGATGAGAACACAAATTTTAAATAATTTGAACTAAAGTGATAAAAGAAACAACAGAAATAACATTTCTTCCTGCTTTCCTGATTCATTTAATCCCTTTTCATGTTTTTCATTTTCTCATAGAAGTTGAGCTTCACTAGTTAATAACTGCAGGTAAAATGATTTTTATTGACCGTAATAAATAAGGCAGGAGGTTTATTCTTTCTCTCTGCCCCTGATTGAGCGACGCTCTGATCAGCGGGCCTGGGGTTATTATTAGGCCAAGGCCTTTCTCTGGAGCTAGCTCTTAAGTCGTGGATGCTCTTTAATTGTTCACATTTTTAAGCATTTAATACACTTAAACAGAAGAGTAACAAAACAATTCACCCCCTCAGAGTTGTCATCAACGTAAACTAGGTCTATTTAACCTAAAATGGGTTTTGAACCAGGCTGTAAACATGTTTATTTCTGCTGTGAAATTTTCTTTTTACCATGGGAGTCAATGAGGATTTGCTCACTTCTGGTGCCTGCCCCTAGTGGATGAGGGTGGAACTGCAGGTTTAGCCACTTACGAGTTGGCTTCCTAGATTTAAAACAAATGACTCAAACTTGGTTGAAACATGTAACAGGAGTGACTATCATGTGTTGTGTTATCACAGCATTACTCAGAACAGGAGTTTTTCCCTCGCCATTTTACATTTCTCATTTAAACAGAAAACAGGTCACACACACACAGCTTTGACGTTTTGGTACACTACATTAGACCACCCAAACTGTCTTTATTCAACAACAGCAAAGAAAGCGTTGCTTCACATGCTACTGCCTCTTTAAAGATTGTGGAAGATGACCTTTGATATAGACCAATGAGGCACACCATTAACTCCTGCCTTTCTTCTTTTTACTTGGCCGGGGCTTGTGAGCAGATGAGGGAAATCCTGTGTCCACAGTTCCAGAGAAGGACGTCCCCCCTCTTACTCATAAATTTGAGAAAAGGAGTCAGTTTTCCAGTCCATCCCACTCCATCCACAGTTCGAGGATACACCAGAAGCAGCAGCACTCTGACCACCTCAGACGCGCCTCTACTGTGTCGGGTAACTCATTTGTACTCACTCACTCACTCACTCACTCACTCACTCACTCACTCACTCACTTACTCACTCACTCACTCACTCACTCACTCACTCACACACTCTCACTCACTCACAGACACACACACACACACACCCACGCACACACACACACACACACACACACACTCACTCACTCACTCACACACACACACACACACACACACACACACACACACACACACACACACACACACACACACACACACACACACACACACACACACACACACACACACACACACACACACACACACACACACACACACACACACACACACACACTCACTCACTCACTCACTCACAGACACACACACACACACACACACACACACACACTGACCTGCATCAGTTCTAATAGTTTCTGTTACTGAACTGAAAGACGTAACTTGTAACTTGGCTCGTTGCACAGAGGACTTCACATCTGTAAACATCTGACCGTATCTCGGGCCTCTCCAGGGTGATTGTTTCTTTTATTGCTGACTCTTTAGTTGAGTGGGTTATCTTATTTAAATTCCTCCGTATGGAATGAACTAATTAGAGGACGTTGATTGGTATTCTTTGATGTTTTCATTGATTTACTTGTTAAATGGTAGAGCGATAAATGGCCTTTATTTGTATTAAAACTGGTCGATTAACGGATTTTAATCTCAATTACGGTCTGGGTTGTCAACGATCATGAAAACGAAATTATTCAGTTTTCTGCCACCTCCTTGCGGTTTACTCTTTCCCCGGCCCGAGATGCAAATCGAGCGCACCTCCCACACATTGTTCCCAACTCGGCAACTTTATTGCTATTTCTAATAACTTTTTAGACCCGTTCATTTTTTTCTCCAAAAGTGATAAACCTAGAGGCATTTCTCATGACCCTTTGCTACTTTCTGTGAAACTTTGTAGTCGATATTCTCTGCAAATTAGCAAAAGAAAGACTGCGCTCTGGACTGTCCTTACATATCTTAGAAAAGGGAATGGTCTGCACATTTGCGTGCAGCAGGATCACATCACACCGACTGACCAATCCTAAAGCTTTCTCGGTTGAACTCGCCTACATAAAAAACTAGTTGTTTTAAAAGCTAAATGAATTCAAGATGCAATGAGCCATAACCAAAATGGATGTTTTTTTTAATCAGGGCTGCTAACTCATGCAATGAGCGTGAAAAACACACATTTGAGCATCTTCACGCACTCTTACGCTACACCTCAATTTTTCATGTAGAAACATAATAATAGTTGATCTGTCTGAGGTACACGTGGCATCATGCTAATGTACACTCCCCTACAGCACCGGGACAGACCAAATCATTGTCTCCACGCCCATCTGCTGCATCTACAGGATCTTCTGACATCCTTTAACTCTGCAGTCAGACGCGAGGGTTGTTTATTTCTCCAACCTGGTGTCCCAGAGCCGACCAGATCTTGAAACCCCCCCGTTCAGGCTGGCTTTGGCATGATCACCACCCTCTTCTTATTTCTTTCGTTCTGCCATTCCCAGGATCCCCTGATTACTTACTTTTCCCATACTTATGATATTTAAAAAAACATTTTTGAATCTTTTTAATTTGTGAGTTTAATCTTGAGCGGTGCCATTTCTTCTTTAGTAGCAGTTTCAGGACATTCACTAAAACAGTAGACGTGTAATTTCTGGCTGGGGGAAATTGACTGGAGAATATGGTGGCCCGGTCCTCTTAGTTGTGTTTCCATATAAATTCAGTCCTTTTAGGACTTTGCACAGATCACTACTGCTTCAGTGGTTACTGGTGAGTGCCAAAAAGCATCCACAGTGACATTAAGGTTTTATTCTGTTGAAGTACAGCATAAGTTCGAACATAAGGATGCCCACCGGTACACTTGGTACCAGGGCAGCCTAGGTCACAGGTCGATGATAGATTTTGTAGTCGTATCATCTGACCTGCGGCCGTATGTTTTGGACACCCGAGTGAAGAGAGGGGCGGAGCTGTCAACTGATCACCACCTGGTGGTGAGTTGGATCAGATGGCAAAGGAAGATGCCGCGTAGACCTGGCAGACCCAAACGCATAGTGAGGGTCTGCTGGGAACGCCTGGCAGAAGAACCTGTCAAGACGGTCTTCAACTCCCACCTCCGGCAGAGCTTTGACCACGTCCCGAGAGCAGTGGGGGACATTGAGTCAGAGTGGACCTTGTTCCACTCTGCGATTGTCGAGGCGGCTGTTGCTAGCTGTGGTCGTAAGGTGGCCGGTGCCAGTCGTGGTGGCAACCCCCGTACCCGCTGGTGGACACCAGAGGTTCAGGGAGCCGTCAGGCTGAAGAAGGAGGCCTACAGGGCGTGGCTGGTCTGTGGGTCTCCGGAGGCAGCAGACAGGTACCGGATAGCCAAGCGGGGTGCAGCAGTGGCAGTTGCCGAGGCAAAATCTCGGGCGTGGGAGGAGTTTGGTGAGGCCATGGAGAAAGACTATCGATCGGCTCCAAAGAGGTTCTGGCAAACTGTCCGGCGCCTCAGGAGAGGAAGGCAGCAACTCGCTCACACTGTTTACAGTGGGGATGGGGAGCTGCTGACGTCAACTGAGGCTATAGTCGGACGGTGGAAGGAATACTTTGAGGAGCTCCTCAATCCCACCAATGCGCATTCCGAGGAGGAACCAGAGCTGGGAGGCCTGGGGATGGACTGTCCGATCTCGGGGGCAGAAGTTGCTGAGGTAGTCAAACAACTACACAGCGGCGGAGCCCCGGGGGCGGATGAGGTTCGTCCTGGGTATCTCAAGGCTATGGATGTTGTAGGGCTGTCACGGTTGACACGTCTCTACAACATTGCGTGGTCATCGGGGGCAGTTCCTAGGGAGTGGCAGACCGGGGTGGTGGTCCCCATCTTTAAGAAGGGTGACCTGAGGGTGTGTTCCAACTATAGGGGGATCACACTCCTCAGCCTCCCTGGAAAGGTCTACGCCAAGGTACTGGAGAGGAGGGTCCGATCGATAGTTGAATCTCAGATAGAGGAGGAGCAATGTGGTTTTCGTCCTGGCCGTGGAACTGTGGACCAGCTCTATACCCTTGCAAGGGTGATGGAGGGGGCATGGGAGTTTGCCCAACCAATCCACATGTGCTTTGTGGATTTGGAGAAGGCTTATGACCGTGTCCCCAGGGGCACCCTGTGGGGGACGCTCCAGGAGTATGGGGTGGGTGGCTTTCTGTTAAGGGCCATTCAGTCCCTTTACCAGAGGAGCGTGAGTTTGGTCCGCATAGCCGGTAGTAAGTCGGACCTGTTCCCAGTGAGGGTTGGACTCCGCCAGGGCTGCCCTTTGTCACCGGTTCTGTTCATCACTTTTATGGACAGAATTTCTAGACGCAGCCGTGGTGTGGAGTGTGTCGAGTTTGGTGGCAGGAGAATCTCGTCTCTGCTTTTTGCGGATGATGTGGTCCTCCTAGCTTCATCCAGCTCTGACCTTCAGCTCTTGCTGGGTAGGTTCGCGGCCGAATGTGAAGCGGCTGGGATGAGGATCAGCACCTCCAAATCTGAGACCATGGTTCTCGACCGGAAAAGGGTGGCTTGCCACCTCCGGGTCGGGGGAGAGGTCCTACCTCAAGTGAAGGAGTTTAAGTATCTCGGGGTCTTGTTCACGAGTGAGGGTAGGAGGGATCGGGAGATCGACAGGCGGATTGGTTCGGCGTCTGCAGTGATGTGGACGCTGAGCCGATCTGTCGTGGGGAAAAGGGAGCTGAGCCAGAAAGCCAGGCTCTCGATTTACCGGTCGATCTACGTCCCAATCCTCACCTATGGTCATGAGCTTTGGGTAATGACCGAAAGAACGAGATCGCGGATACAAGCGGCCGAAATGAGTTTCCTCCGTAGGGTGGCCGGGCTCAGCCTTAGAGATAGGGTGAGGAGCTCGGACATTCGGGAGGGACTCGGAGTAGAACCGCTGCTCCTCCGGATCGATAGGAGCCAGTTGAGGTGGTTTGGGCATCTGGTCAGGATGCCTCCTGGACGCCTCCCCGGGGAGGTGTTTCGGGCATGTCCTGCCGGCAGAAGGCCCCCGGGTCGACCCAGGACACGTTGGAGAGGTTACATCTCCAATCTGGTCCGGGAACGCCTTGGGGTCCTGCCAGAGGAGCTGGTGGACAAGGCCGGGGAGAGGACGGCCTGGAGCTCCCTAATTGGGATGCTGCCCCCGCGACCCGGACCCGGATAAGCGGAGGAAGACGAAGACGAAGACAAAGAAGTACAGCATAATTAAATCCACACGGAGGACTGGGAGAGTTGCTGTGTGACGTAAAATGTGGTGTTCAATGACTAGAATAATCACTGTTTTTTGAGGTGCTCTGTTAGACAACAAAACCCCGTGAATTGTGTCGTGGAGGAATTCCTCTTCGGTGTTGGGAGTTTAGTAATGGTGATTTTAATGCAGTTGTTTTGGACAACGTTTGCTGATACCATTTTCCCACTGAATTACAACCCTTCAGCGTGAGTCAACCAAAGGTTATGCTTAGCTACTCTGTCAGACCGCTCCTGCTCAGGTAGCTACTCTGTTGGTTCCTGAAAATGGCCTGGAAGATGAAGGTAAGGTGGAGAGCATGATGGGAAGTTCCCATAAAATTCTCCCGAAGTTCTGATGGTGGAAACATACCCACACCCACTGGCCACTTTTATGGGTACACTTTGCTAGTACCGGGTTGGACCCCCTTTTGCCTTCATGTAGGGCGACGGTGGCACAGGAGTTAAGTGCTCGCCTCGCAATCTGAAGGTCGCAGGTTCGAGACCCGCTCAGTCTGTCGCTGTCGTTGTGTCCTTGGGCAAGACACTTAACCCACATTGCCTGCTGGTGGTGGTCGGAGGGACCGGTGGCGCCAGTGCTCGGCAGCCTCGCCTCTGTCAGTGCGCCCCAGGGCAGCTGCGGCTACATTGTAGCTCATCCCCACCAGTGTGTGAATGTGTGTGTGAATGGGTGAATGACTGGTTGTGTTGTAAAGCGCCTTGGGGGGTTCCAGGACTCTAGAAGGCGCTATATCAAATACAGGCCATTTACCATTTACCATTCACAACTGCCTTAATCCTTCGTGGCATAGATTCAACAAGTTACTGGAAACAGTGATACGTTAGCGATGCGAATCTCCCGTTCCACCACATCCCAAAGATGCTCCATTGGATTGAGATCTGGTGGCTGTGGAGGCTGTTGAGTACAGTGAACTCATTGTCATGTTCAAGAAACCATTCCTTATGGGAAACAAAGGTTCTGGGAACTTGTCTATCAAATAACCCCACCCCCTGAGAAATCTAACTGATCCAATCAGTGCTGGGCAGCATATGTCACACACCTCAATGCTCAGTTACTCATAAACAATGAAGATGGCGTCTGAAATGGAATTTCTTTCCTCTGTTCTAAATTACTTGGACATGTCTAAAACCAAAACAAGTAGAACTGCTAAAAGCCTTTCTTTTAAAGAAAGATGTTTGTGCCATTGCTAGACGCCATATTTGACTACAGCATTGTGCAGTACAGTTGGCATTTCTGCCTTTCTTCAGAATGGTTATTTTTTAGCTGGCTAGTCCCACCCCTCATGTGCCTCTCTGCCTGTGAGTAACCAGACTCATTCGTTGTGTAAAGTTAAACAGAGAACGAGTCTGGCAGGCCAGGCTAGCATTATCCTGCTGGAAGTATCCATCAGAGGATGGGTACACTGTTGTCATAAAGGGATGGACATGGTTGCAACAACACTCAGGTAGGCTGTGGCAATGTAACAGTGATCAGTTAGTAATAAGGGGCCCAAAATGTGCCAAGAAAATGTCCCCACACTATTACACCACCACCATCAGCCTGAACCGTTGATACAAGGCAGGATGAATCCGTGCTTTCATGTTGTAGATGCCAAATTCTGACCATACCATCTGAATGTCGCAGCAGAAATCGAGACTGATCAGACCAGGCAACATTTTTCCAATCTTCCATTGTCCAGTTTTGATGAGCCTTTTGTGAATTGTAGCTTCAGTTTCCTGTTATAGCTGACAGGAGTGGCACCCGGTGTGGTCTTCTGCTGCTGTAGCCCATCTTCCTCAAGGTTCAACATGTGTGTTCAAAGATGCTCTTCTGTATACCTTGATTGATTGTAACGAGTGGTTATTTCACTTACTGTTGCCTTTCTATCAGCTCGAACCAGTCAGGTGTTCTCCTCTGACCTCTGGCATCAACAAGGCATTTTCACCCACAGAACTGCCGCTCACTGGATGTTTTCCCTTTTTTGGACCATTCTTTGTAAATCTTAGAGATGGGTGTTCGTGACAATCCCAGAAGATCAGCAGTTTTTGAAATACTCAGACCAGCCAGTCTGGCACCAACAACTATGCCACAATGATCATTAGGGCTGCAACAAACGATTATTTGGATAATCGATGAATCGGATGGGGTCTCGACACGATTAATCGATTAATCGGATTACATAGGGACATTTTTAAAAACTTCTAGGGAAACGTTATTTCTCTCCTTCCTTCACTTTATTAAACACAACATTATTAGAAAACAGTTCAATAGCAGAAAAACAACATGCCATCACCTAAATTGTCTTATAAGGTGTATAGACAGAGACCCTAAGCTACATCTATCTGTGACCTAAAATGCTTGGTCCAAGTTAAACAGCAATTCTCATCTGTTTTGTTTGATCTCATCTGTAGACATTTATTATAATTGGGGATGTCAAACAACTAATTTTTGAATGTAATTAAACATAGGCTGTGAATTAATCAAAATTAATCACTATTTCCAAAAATGACTGAAAAAATACCAAATAAAACAAAAGTAAATGAATGCCATCCTCCTTGCGATGATGCCCTGGGCAACTGCCATAAAGTCACATCAAGAAATGCTGCTGATCATTCCAATGATCCCAAATAGACTCACATTAGGCCACATGAAAGCAACTGAACCCAAAAATATATTAACCAGTATATAACTGCACTCACACACAACACGCCTGCAGCAACAGTTAGGACTCCTCCCTCCCTTTTAAAAGCGTTTTCGCTTCTGAGGACATTGTGGTTGTAAAGCCACATGTTAGTAGTCTGGCCCCGGTGTAATCAACCAGTTTCTGTGGGAATGTGACGGCGGAACCGGTTCGCAGAAGCGCAAGTCCCCCCCTCCCCGTTTATCTAATAGCGTCGCGCTTACGATTTTATAGACTTTTTTTTACGAGCTTAGGGCATGTCTAGCCTGTGTAATAATCCGGGGCTTGGGTGAGTCACTTTTGAAAAGTTTTTAACTTACCCGGACACTGAGCTCTCTCCTTCCTCGCTGATGATTCTGACATGCTTGCGTTTAAGATGCTGCATCATCACTGCAGCACTCCCGTGCCATGCTAAGTCTGACCTACAAACGTTGCAGGTAACGAATGTCGTCGCCTGATTTAACTGAAAATGCTCCCAAACTTTAGAAGTTTTTACTTTTTTGGGTCTCGCTGCTTCTGACATGTTCCTCTTCCAAACACCTGCCGGCGGTCTGTGCGCAACGACGGGCGGGAGGGGAGGGGGCTTTTGGAATAGTTGTGCAACACAACGAATCGATGACGCAATTCGTTTCCAACGCTTTTAGTAATCGATTTTCATCGAATTTATCGATTCGTTGTTGCAGCCCTAATGATCATAATCATATATTCATACATACTAAAGACTCTCTTAGCATGTTCAGTATAACTGACCCGGAAGCCCTACTCTAACAATCTAATACGTGCAAGGGTGCATCAATGTATGATTAAAACACATATGCGTCAGAGTGTGCACCCCCAGTTACACCATTACTTGCTGCAAAAAACTATGCGGAGTTGGCGGGACTGACTGCCTTGCTGAAAAGGGTGCGTGCGCCTTTCGAGTGGACTAAGCAGCAACAGCAGGCCATGGATGACTTGAAGGCTGCGTTGTGCTTGGCTCTGTGCCTGGCGCTTCCTGATTGTGACAAGGAATTCCACCTTGAGGTCGGGTTCTCTACCCACTGTTTGAGTTAGGGCTTGTTGTTTGTGCAGATAACATTGCACTTTTCCTCTAGGAAGAAGAGCAAACAAAGACAATGGAAGAGTTATATTACTGTTAGCTAGTAAGAGGCGAGATGTTTAGATGTCATGAATTTTAATGTGTAAAACTCATTCCTGTACCCCTTGAAACAGGAGTGTGAGAGATTTTCCTCAGAAATCAACTGACAAGGAATTCATCGATTCTAAAAATTACAGAAAATGTATTTAAAAAGCGAGTGACTGAGATCTTTGATACAATTTCAGACAGACGGTAAAGCATTCAATTTTTAGAGTGAACTTGTGTTTATTTAGTTTTTTCTTTGTGATTTCAGATGGCAGCAGAAAATCAGAGGTTCCTCTGAGTAATCATGACCCACGCACAGCTGTGCAACTTCGTACAGCGCTGAAAAGACTTAAGGAAATCATGGAGGGAAAAAGCCAGGTACCATTCCATTTTATTTTATTTATGAAGCACTTTACACATGAAATGGCAGTCAACAAATGTTGCTGTACAGAGGTCAAAATACAAAAACAAGACAAACAATCTCAAACATACAGATTAAAAACTGTAGATGCATGTATGAATATTAACTAGAACTGCAAACATTTATAAACAGGTTCCAAGCCGATTTGCGGTTTTGTCACTGATTCACTCTTCTTGGTTTATGCTTGACGCATGAGTGAGGTCTGCATGCCTCCATGCGGCCAAATATGTCATTTCAGCAACCACGCCCCTCCTCCTTCGCGTGGCCCAAAGTTTCAGCACAGAAATTTGCTTGACCAAGGTTACTCACATAAAACATGTAGAACAAAACAGATATAAGCAGACCACAAAAGCTGCCATTCAAGGTGCTCATTTCAGTTAGATAGAAAAGGGTTACATGAGGATAACCTGTTCTCCCCTAGAGAGAGCAGCCGTCTTCAAAGGCGCTCATCCACTGTTGAATCACAGGTGGGAGGGAGATTCAGGGAGAGTGAAGAGTACATTGACTCCTTCAGTTGATGACCTTGCCAGGGTAAGTCCACCAATCCGAATGGGGGGTAGGTTGGGTTTTCACAGTATCTGTCTGCATTCCTTTGTAGGGGATTTGTCTTCTCGCAGCTCAAGGCCACCAGGGTGCCAGATTCAGATCGGAAGAATTGTTTGGGTCAGGCAGAGATAATTTTCTCTGCCTTTCAGTATTTAACTGATCATTCCAGTCCCTCAGTGAGTCCAATTTTCAGGTTTAAACTTGCCCACACCGTGCATTGACTTTCTCCAAGATCACATTCATTTTGCGCACTGATACCGGGATCTCAGATAGAACCTCTAGCTCACGATTCACCTCGAGTAACGTCCCAGTCTGAGTAGTTTCCACACGGGGACTTTCTATGGGTACGGGTTGCCCTTCAATCGCTCCCGTCTTCCCAATTTTCCAGAATACTAGAAATCCTCTCACTCCAAACAGAAGAAATCCAGTAATCATCAGCCCAAAAATCCACACGTCTTCGATGTCCTCCATGGACAGCTGGGAGAGGCATATAATATTCCAGTCCTTCCAGGAATTCAATACTGTATATACCCCACCGGGTGCACCCCCTGTGGACAAGCAGGAGCCCCCTGCTCCATTCTCGTTGTTGAAAAAAATCTTGTTGATCGCGTTGAATGATGAGTTAATCAAATCCATGATTGATAAAAATAGAGTTTTAGGAGGAATGCAGAGAAGCACTCACACGCAGCTTGCCCCTTATTGCTGTGAGACCGGGTGGGGGGTGAAGTGGTTGCAGCGCACCTCCGATCGCTGACTGGGACAATTTTTACATTAACTGATGGGAGCTGTAAATAAATAGTTTAGACATAAGTTAGATATGGATAGAAATAAGTTGTCATGCTCATGAATAATTCATCTGTCTAGGCGACATGTTGCAAGTACACTCCCCTACAGCACCGCTGGACAGGACTAAATAAATATTATGCAATACTTTGTGAACGTCATTAAAACATATATATTTGTATGTTTTTATTTATTTTATAAGTGCACTGTATATAACTCTTACTGTCAGTATTTGCAAGCTTTGGTTTGTATTGGGTAGGCTTAAATAAGTGAAATCTCAGCCTAAACCCTTTAGGTCATAACCAATCAGCAAGTGTGTAGGCCGTTTTATACTGGGAATCAGGCAATGTTTTTGTGAATATTTTTTTCTTTATCTTATTCATTTTTGTCCGGATTGTGCCCTGTGCAAGTTTATGACCAAATAAATAAATAAATAAATAAATAAATAAATAAAGTCAACAATTGAGCTTCAGTGTTTCCCCTAGGAATTTTTCCAGCTGTTGGGGGGGGGGGGGGGGGGGGACACGTCTCACCTTTATGTTAATATTGTTTTATTTGATGCACTCCACTTTGAACTGCACCAATCCAGCAACTGCTGCATTTTAATAACTAGTATTAAAGGTGAAAACACCAATGTTTGCACAAGAATAATTTTTGTTTTAAACTCAGTGACACACTTTGCAGGGGGATTTGGCATTTAATTTTTCTTGGCGTCTAGAAAAACATCTCCTTCTGCCCCCCTTTATTTGACTTTCTGCCCCCTTTATGTTTATGTTTATTTATTTAGCAGATGCTTTTATCCTTGTCTCCAGGACAGTGATCTGAAGCAGTACTGGATGCCAGATAGTCAGTGTAAGGAGTGCTACGACTGCAGTGAGAAGTTCACCACCTTCCGCCGTAGGCACCACTGCAGGCTGTGTGGGCAGATCTTCTGTAGTCGTTGCTGCAGCCAGGAGATCCCTGGACGGTTCATGGGCTATACAGGTAAAGATTTTGGTCTGATGTATGTTTTTGTCTAAAAACAAGATTTCATATTCACTCTTTCATTTAGAAATATTGCTGAGGTTTAAGGTTATTTATAGGGACGTTTTGATTCCATCACTTGATGGGAATTCGGGCCAAATCACTTTATTATATAAAAGGTCGGGATCGGGAGAAACGATAAATTGGATTTAACCTTTTAAAACAACAAACATGATATTCTAAATTCATCCTGAGATGGAAACTTTCAAATTAAATAACAGCGGATTAGTTTTAATTTCATTAAGTTCCTCTACATCAATATTATTTGATTCGTGTATGAAAGCGTCACAGAAACATCACACAATTTACGTCAGGCGGGATTCAGACACCAAGCTGCAGCTTTTAGCAAGTAGGCTAATGCAGAGCTAACGTGTCTTCTCAAGAGTGCTAAAACAGACACAGAAGGAAGAGCAACAGCCACTTGTAATGTGTGCGTACTGGGCATTTAACAGGCTGGAAAGGACAGAGCTTCATTTTCACTTCATTTCATTAATTGATAAAGCGCCTTACTGCTACCAGTCAAGACTGCCCAAGGTGTGGTACACGATAAAGTCGATGGCCGTTTCTCAATATGCACACTTGTCCGAACTTGTGTACTCACATCCTTGTGAAACGTTACCAACGATGGCCCAGTGACTGTTCCAATCCTAAGTGTGCATAACGGCATGTTCGCTCAAATTTCTCGGATGTGTTTATGCTCCATCCATTGTATTGAGGAAACATCAATGCATCATTCTGCGGATTTGGGACAGCAAAGTTTCCCATTATGCATTGCGTCGCAAACCGTTTCACTCCGAACGTCAGAGTAGAAAACTAAGAACTAATATTTAAGATTAGAAATCTAAATAAAATAATATTAAGTTGTCTGTCACTGTAAATAATCGTGTGTAAACTTTAAAGTTTGCTGTGTGTGTGTTTGGGTTTTACTCTTCATGACTCTTCAACATGCCAATTAGCTAACCCACTATCAAAATAAAAGCACTGTAGGTCTGTTCTGATGAAAAATAAACTTTTTATTAATTAGATAGATAGATAGATGGATAGATGGATAGATGGATGGATGGATGGATAGATAGATAGATGGATAGATGGATAGATAGATGGATAGATAGATAAACTTTTATTGTCCACCTCGAATTGAGGCAGAAATTCGCCTTTGACATGGCTCACCTTACCAATCCATATCGCATTCACACAAATATATAAAAGACAATTAAAAGGTATTAAAATGTTATCATCGTAAAAAAAATAAAACTTTTAAGAATTCTAAATTGTAATTGTGGTGGGAACAAATGATTTCTTATAAACACCTTTCTTGGCCGATGGAACTCTGTACCTCCTTCCAGATGGAAGTAACTGATAGTGGTGTGCATCTCTACCTGCCTCACGATTCGATCCGATTCCAATTATCTGCCGAACGATTCGAAATGCATCTGAGTCTGAAATGCATCACGATTCTTCACACAAAAATGTTCATTACTTAATAAAAGCAGTAGAATAATTTTCAATTTCTTTTTGATTTCGAAATCCCTGAAAAACAGAACATTCATCTATTCACTATAGTGAGCAATAATGTTTAAAGTGTGCTTCCTATAATTACTTAAATAATATAAGAAATAATGTTTTCGGTAGAGCAGCTTTAAGATAGAATATTACTGAACTTAAAAATAGTAAACAAATACTGTGTTAAGTGATTCTTTCACATCCAGGATCCCAAAACCGAAATTAGCCCAGACATCCGATTTAAATGTAACAGGTGCATCTTTGATTACTGGTAATGTTGGCCCTGTATCCCTGCCCGCCTTTTCTGTTTTAAATTGGCGCTAGGGCAACGCAGCATGTCATTGCAACTCTGCCCCCAGAAGTAATTGTAAAACCTCAAAACTTTATTGTCCTCGCATAGACATAGACCAGGGGTCGGCAACCTGTTCCCATCAAAGAGCCATTATTACCCGTTTCCCACAGTAAAGAAAACACTGGGAGCCACAGCAGCCGCGGCGTTGTGGGCGGGGCCTACCCTCAGACAGCAGAGAGCTGCTCACAACAGGTGACAGCAGCCGTTACCGGTCACTCGTGTACGTCAGTTATCTTTCATAAGAAGATAATCAATAAAACGTTTTATATAAAGTGGATCCAGAAGTTGTAGCCCGTCTCTGCCTACAATATTTTGATATTTTTCACCCTGTTGGTGGTTTTACTGAGCAGTTGCCACTTTTGTCATACGTTTCTTTTTAAAACATGTTTAGACTGTTCAGAATACAAATCCAGGCTCTGTCACGTTTGATTGTTGTAATTAAACTTTGTAGGTGGGGAAGGTCAGAAAAGGATCTGATCAATTTGTTTTTCCTTCATTTTACAGTGACGGAGACAATGGTGCAGTGCGCCTGGCTCTGGTGTTAGTCAAGTTTAATTTTATCTCTTTGCAACAATTTTCACAAGAAAACAGAACAGTTAAATGCAGGGCTTGTGTTGTGTTGACCGGATAGTTCCCGTATTTGACCGTTTATTTTGACGGAGAAAGAATAGAAAGAATTACCCCGACGCATGCAGGCGAACTGACACTTTATTCGTTTCGCGCAGATGTAGCTAAATCACTCAAGAAATGATTCCCATCTGAGCTGGGCACTGAGCTCAGCGCAGCTCGCTGTCAGCGCGTACGTACGGCGCACAGCGAGCTGAAGATGTGGAGAGGGGCTTGGAGCACGTCGCAGAACCAGAGCGCATGCAGGAAGATTCCTCCGACTGAAGCGAGACTTGTCACTTAGAAAATGTTCCCTGATTATGAAACTTTGGCTGAATAGTGCTTGTTCCGGTCTCCAATGTGGCGACACATCCAGGAGCTGAGGAGAATCCCAGAATCTCACATCCTCGTCAGCTCAGAATGCGCCGATATGATTACGCACAAGCGTGACGCGTCAACCCGGTCTCACAGTAAGACTGGGTTGGAACTGTTCAGGTTCATACGGACAATCTTTACATTTAGAATTAGCTTACAGATGTAAAATTAATGCAATAAAATATAAAGCATTTTATTTAAATATCCATTCGTTATTTTACAAGCACAGAGAGGCGCATCAGATGGATGGAAGAGCCGCATGCGGCTCCAGAGCCGCGGGTTGCCGACCCCCGACATAGACATAGGGAGAGAATCTCATTATGTCACGTTGCTGCATCGATGCGGAATCATGCACGGCTGAATCGCGATGCATCTTAGAATCGATCATTTTTCCCACCTCTAGTAACTGAAAATGTGGGTTCAATGGATGGGTTGAGTCTAGCAGGAAATGCTAGTATTTTAATAGTTTTGATCAAAAGTGGGCCAAATATAATACAAATAATATGTTTTGGTTGTTATTTTAGGAACATACTAGACTATTATTTTTATGTCAGGTCATTTTTTTAAGTGTAGCAAGAAGCAGTGGTTGTTGCCAGGACACAACGGAGTACGGTTCTATTCCAAATGTCATCCTTGTGTTCCCGTACTCGGTAGAACAGACTGTCTGGCGTCCTTGCCAAGAACATACTTGTCTAGTACACAAGAACGTACCAGCATCCTTGAGTATTGAGAAACGGCCATAGATACTACTCAGTACAATTGGGATAAACAACAGACCATGCTATAAGAATATGCCACGTGACAGAGAAAAAGCAATAAAAACAATAAAACAAAATGTCACACAACTCATAAAAACAATAAAATGTTGCAACATACAGAAACCCCAAAAATGGCAATACAAACAAGATAAAACAAGTAAAACAACTGAGAAGTTAAATATATCTAAAATACTGCTTTAGAACTCCAGACAGTTTATGGTTTTATGATGTCTAGTGGGAGTTTGTTCCACAGTCTAGGGGCCAGTGCTGCAAAGGCTCGCTCCCCTCAGGACCTAGAGTTAAGCCAAGACTCCACCAATAGGTCCTTATCAGCAGAGCAGAGGGGTTGGGTGGGGACATTTCTTATTAAAAGCTCTCCAAGATAAGGTGAAGCTGTTCTGGCAAGAGCCTGGAAAACAAGCAGGAACTTTCATTGTTATGCTGTGCTCTACAGGCAACCACTGTAAAATATCCAGGACTGGAGATATGTGCTCCCTCTTTTTTACCCCATAAATGAACCTGGCAGCAGCATTTTGTACACTATGCAGTCTAAAGATTGTAGACTCATTCCAGCATCCAGGGAACTGCAATAATCCAGCCTTGATAGTACAAATGCACGCGTTACAGTCTCTAAATCCTTTCGTGAAACAGTTGACTTAATTCTAAACAGGTGTCAAAGTGGAAAGAAGCAGGATCGTTGGTTACGTATCGTAACCCCAGATTCTATGAGTCTAGTCGCAGCCCTTAAGCTAGCTGCTATTGAAAGGGTGATCTCAGCATCAGCCAATCATGAAGAGCTTAAATGTACGCCCACCAATGGTGGGCACCCCTATGGGTATACAAGTGGAGCGACTCCACTGTTCGCCTCCGATGGCTCTTGGTCCTATCAGCACCAGTGGAGCCACTGGCTTAAGGGCTGCGACTAGACTGATAGAATCTGGGGTTACGATACGTAACCAACGTTCTATTTCGTCTAGTCTTAGCCCTTAAGCTAGCTGCTATTGGAATAATGCGCAGCTGGATGAGTTTACGCCACACTGGTTAGCTCAAACCAAATGGACACACCCAACATTTCTCTTCTTAGAGAGGGTTGCTCAGCCTCAGCCCAAGGGCTTAGAAGTCTGAGGCAGCCAGAAAAAAACTGTGATAATACCGAAAACCGTGATAATTTTGGTCACAATAACCGTGAGGTTAAATTTTCATACCGTGACAACCCTAGTGCAGATTCCTGTGCAACATTTGAATGTACTAGAACTTGTTTGAAGTCATTCTCTGTTGGACTTTCTTTCCCTACCTTTAGGTGATTTGCGAGCCTGCACCTATTGCCGCAAACTAGCGCTGAGCTACACACACTCGGACTCTGGTTCCATTGGTGAGGATCTGAGCTCCTTATCTGAATCTCCCTGCTCTGTGTGTGTTTTGGAGCCTGTCGATCCCCGGACCCCTGTGGGAGTCCGAAAGAGCAGCAGGAACATCTTCCTTGAAGAAGACTTGACCTGGCAGAGGTGAGCCCACACTTTGTCCAAAATGAAACCATAAATTTAGGATTAGCACATTTCTTGTTTGATACATCTAAAGCTTCTGGTTCCCTTCATGACTACCACCAGGAGAGGAGTGTACCAGCTGGTTGCACGCCTGGGTGTAACTTTAAGTACAATGTAGATTTGAAAGTTATGCCTAGCTTGTCACGACGAGTGCACCAGTCAGGTGTAAGCCCTTCAGCCGCTACGCCCAGGTGCAACTTTTACGCCTAGTGTGGACCAGACATAAGGTGTAAGATCTACTCTAGAGTTGTTGTATGAGTGTGCAAAGAAGCAACAGCCTACATGTGCTAACCTGGTACAGCTGAGACTAATGAGGCTGTAGCCGATGAATTTGTTTAATCCTGTGCATAAAGCGCGGCTATCTCCATTGTTTAAGCACTATTTTATTAGAATGCCCAGACTCGCCCGTCTGTTCTACACAGAGAACAAGTCTGGATGCTCAGAGGCAGGGAGCACCATGAGGGGCGGGGCAAGCCAGTTGGATGAAAGGTGAAAATGATGACTGTAGCTGTAGACAATGATGGCGTCTGGCGATGGCGCAAACATTTTTCCTTTTGGAAGAAAGGCTTTTAGCGCATCTTGTTGTTGTGGTTTTAAAGACATGTTCAAGTTATTTATTACAGAGGAAAGAGCCTCGGCATACTTCGCTTCAGACGCCATCTTTGTTGTTTATGAGGCTCAGCGTTGTGTTGTGTGATGTACACTGCTCAGCGTTGATTGGCTTAGTTAGAGTGCTCAGGGGGTGGGGTTATTTGAATGGACACGTTGGAGGGACTGTGTCTCTCGGCTGGCCTTGGGATTCCCTCGGAGGAGGTTGTTGGAAGCAACTTGAAGTGGCGTTATAACCCTATGGGATGATGCTGATGTCTAAACTTTCTAACCTCGAGGGGAGAAGTAGCGGGAAGAATCTGCGAGTTGTTGGCTTACCGGAGTCGCTCGAAGGCCTGCAAACTTCCCTCTAGGAATGTAAAATAATTTAAATTCTATCTAGAGGAGGCTCATATCCTATCATCCACAATATTACCAGTAATCATTTCTGGTCCAGAGAAAAGAAAATCTATCATGTTAAGCTAAATTCATGATGCATCCTCATCTCATGCTATCTCTAGTCATTACACTCCCTATTGCACTCTCTATTTGTCCCTCACTACCTCCATAGCTGTTTCCTGATTCTTCGGGGGCGGGGTTTGGCATAAACAATGTTCCAGTCGGCAGCCACGGTGGAAAGGCTCGCTAAAACACACAGAGAAGTCTCCAAATAAAACGTCATAAAGCCAAATGCAACGCTTAGAGCAGAACATTGACCCAGAGGTTCCCTGATGGACCAGACCCATGAGAATACACTTAATGACGTCTTAGAGACAGAGCAAGCTAGTGGCTAATGCTAGCACCTAGCTACTATGATTGAGTATGGTGTGCTTCTTCAAAGAATTATAATCGTTTATGCCTGCATCTGTTGATTGTTAGATTATTTTCCTCAGCTCTACCAAGCACTCCAGCTAAACAAACCAACACACTGCCTTAAACTTGCTCTGGTGTGTCTGTCGTACCGACAGAAGCAGACTAGCTAATATTGTGATTGGGCTAAGAAAAAAATGTGCTGGTAGATGTGTCCAGAAATAATGGCACAGGTGACAGAACGTAAATAGACGGTTCTCCGATCTCCAAGCTTTGGTACATCGTCATCACCTTATAATCCTTAACGATCTCGTATTGTCAGATCGCACGGCTTAGTTTAACTGTTTGTCCATCAACTTTGACCAAAATGAGTCTTTCTTCTCTCATTGCCATAGACAAACTCTTATTGGGATGAGAAAGATGTGAGTTTAGTTTATTTCTTTTTCAACCAAAGTCTGTGTGAAGAGGCTTGAATGTGCTCAGATGTGCTCAAACTTGGGCTGCCACAAAAGATTATTTTAGTAGTCGACTAATCGTGTCATGCATTAAGTGTAGCTTATTTCACCAAGATGCTCTAAAAAACCCACCATTAGCTCGTGGCAGCCCTAGCTCGAACCATACATTGTGCCTAACAAAAGAAGAAAAGTGTATATACTCCACAGTGTAACCCATGTGTGTGTGTGTTTTAGCACAATCCATCAGGAGCCCCAGGACAGTGGACTGGCCTCCAGACTCACTGCCCTGCAGGAGGATGTGGGGAAGTCGCCTATGAGGAAGAGGTGACTTTGATCTATTTTGTTCTGTAAAGAGGAAATAAGATGTGTGAAGTGAGGACAGGAGCCAATGTGTCATGCAACTGCCCTAATGTCTGAGGATCCAGGATCTACTGATTTCTCGTTTTCCCTTTCCCTTTCCTTACCTTTTTTTAATCACAATGTATTTATTTTAGCCATATTTTAAATAATTAAAATCTTTTTTATAAAATGTTTTGTTTTTGTGAAGCGCCTCGTGATTTTTCTCTTGAGAGGTGCTATATAGAAGATGTTTTTTTCCTTAAATATCATTAAATAAGAATCTAAATCTGTCACGATCTGCCCCTGCCCTCCTGACTGTGTTCCTCTCCTGCCTTAATTACCCTTATTGTTCTCACCTGTCCCTCGTTTACCTGCCCATGTTTCCCTAATCAGCCCTCTGTATTTATACCACCTGCCATCTGAAGCTCAGCAGGAAAAGATTCACCAGTATCTCGTCCGCTCTCAAGTTCAACTTACAAGGCATTCATTCCTAGTGGAGACCACTACAAATGTATAAACACCTTTCATTACAGTAGTAGACCCACCCATACAAAGCATCCCCCAAACCTGTAGACCTATGGGAAATGCTTGTAGGAGTAGCAGTTATAAATGTTATATATAGTTAATGGAAACTGTAAAAACAGCTCTGTGATGGGTTCCTTCTTTCAGGTCTCTTAGTGTGACCAATCTGTCATTGGATCGGTCTGCCTCTGCCCTGATTCCTACATATGACAGCTCTGTCAGCCCGCCCACCAGCCGATCAATGTCAGGGACCAGGAGTGGCACCAAACTGGACCACAGCGAGGAGGAAAGGAAGATCCTACTGGTATCTGCTCTGTTCTTCAGTCCCTTTAAAGTTGTCAAGTTTGCTACCTTCATATGATTGCACCTAAATGAGTGACCGGGTTGTGACTGGGTTGTGTTGTTCCAGATCGTTGCACCTTCAGGGTTAGCGGGGTGGGTTCTGATATTCAAAAATTACAATAGTTAAAAATATGTAATATAATTATAATCCATTTAATTTGGGGCTGCGCAGTGGTGCAGTGGTTACAGCTGTTGCCTTGCAGTGAGATGGTCCTGGGTTCACTTCCCGGCCTGGGATCTTTCTGCATGGAGTTTGCATGTTCTCCCTGTGCATGCGTGGGTTCTCTCCGGGTACTCCGGCTTCCTCCTGCAGTCCAAAAACATGACTGTTAGGTTGACTGGTCTGTCTAAATTGTCCGAGTGTGTGTGTGTGTGTGTGTGTGTGTGTGTGTATGTGTGTGTGTGTGTGTGTGTGTGTGTACGCGTGCGTGCGTGTGCGTGCGTGCGTACGTGTGTGTGTGTGTGTGTGTGTGTGTGCGTGCGTGTGTGTGTGTGTGTTGCTCTGCGATGGACTGGCTCTCTGTCCAGGGTGTACCCCACCTGATTGCCCATTGACCGCTGGAGATAGACACCAGTGACCCTACGTGGACAACCGGGTTCAGACAATGGATGGATGGATGGACATTTTATTTGAGGGTGCCTTTCTAAGACCCAAAGTCACTTTACAGAAATAAAATGATTTATAACAAACATTAACAGTCAAGGGCAAAAGAACTGAAACCACTTAAATCCTCTGTCTAAAGTACATCTAAATTTCACATGCCCACTTGAACAAATGTGTTTTGAGCTGTGCCTTTAAGTCAGCATTCCTAATGAGTGGAGGTAGGGAGTTCCAGAGCTGGGAAGCAGAGGGACTGAGACCTCTGCTCCTCACGGTGGTGAACCCAGCAGATGATGATCATAAAGAAGAGGAAGGAGTATCTATATATATATATATATATATATATATATATATATATATATATATATATATATACAAATACAAATACAACTACAAGTATGTATGGCACCACCACTTCTAACTGTCCGACTTTTCAGCATACCAGGACTTTTTTTTCTAGCTTACGGTGCGAACTGGTATTTTTCTGGTCATTTATTAGTCGACATCTCCAAAAGTTCTGGAAAAATTTAAATAAATTGTCTGTCCTCAAAACATCAGCCATCCGCAGTTCTCCCCCAGCGCAGCCCCTCCCATTACGTCAGACATGCTCTCCATGAAGGGTTGCATTTCGCGCAAAAGGTGGCCTGATCTCAATACTCGCAGTAAGGCTTCGAGTGCAAATAATTGCTAAATTGAGACAGAGAGCATTGCATCATCAACTGCAGCACATGCCAAGATGCTTGTTGCTCTGATATTTAAACATAAATAAAAAAAACTGTATGAACAACTTTCAAACCAACAACCAAAAATTTTTTGAAATAAGTTTACATTCATTGCTGCTTTGTCTAAACGTCTCACAGCATCAACTAATCATTCTAAAATTAACTATTTTAATTAGAAAACACATATTTTCAGAGAATGCATTTGAGCCCCCCCCCCCCACACACACACACAGATAAAGAACGGTAGTGAAACAATCCATGCAGCACAGCCATGACTAAGCAGTGCTGCTTTTTTAGCCCACATGTAGGATCGGTCTGTGAGTAGAAGCCTTTGATGGGGTGACGCCAGTCTCTGTCGGGTCCTTGTCGAGCTCGACCAGTTGTGGCTTCCCTTCTTTCTGGACATTGTCAATGATTGTCAATGATTTTCAGGTTTCTCAATAAAAGGAAATTGTAACATTAACGTAATCTGCTTTTAGTTAAGAAAAAAATCGGTATCGGCTAGTCAGGTTTTTCTCAAGATCAGTGATTGTCCAAAAATTGCAATCGGTGCACCCCATTGAAGACCGTAGGCTACAAAATGAAACGGGGGGTTTACTCCATTGGTCTAATCCCATTACCTGAATCCACTTTCAGTAACACCTTATTTGTTTCAGGATTCCTCCCACCTGAAGGACCTATGGAAGAAAATTTGCCACAACAACACAGGAATGGAGTTCCAGGACCACAGATATTGGCTTAGAACCTACCCCAACTGCATTGTGGGAAAGGAACTTGTAAACTGGCTGCTAAGGAATGGAACAATCTCTACCAGGTATACTCTGACCCAAGAAAAGTAGATTCCTTCATTACTTGGTTGGAAAGGACTGGTGCTTTTTATACATACTTATTATGTATTTACACAAAGACCCCAAAAAAACTACTACTAAGTTATTACTGTGTCAAAAAGAAGGAAAGTGAAAACATCTTATAACAATACTTATGTGCAGGGTCTGTATGGGTGCCTAAAATACTTGAAAACACTTTACTTTCAGTGTGTTTTCTAGGTATAGAAAATACTTGATTTCTGTATTAAGTCCTTAAAAATGCAGTTTGGCATTTAAAAGTGTGGTTCACTGGAAATCATGTTTAAATTATCATTTCTAATTCTAATGGGTCACTCTGAGTGTCCCATGCAGGCTGAACATGAAAATGGCCTCCTAAATGGACTATAATATAAGCAAACTAGCAGACCCCCTCAAGAAGAGGGCTGAGAATGAAACTTGGTTGGCCCGGAAAAATACCAGGCCACCCAGATATGTAAACAACCTACGCTACCCGGCCCGGGCCGACCCGGTACAGATGGGAATGGCCCATAAGATGGTGCTTGTCCATGTAAGGCCCTATAGACCAGAACCAGGATCTTGAAATGAACCCTGAAGTTGACTGGCAGCCAATGAAGCTGGAGGAGAAGCGGGGTGATGTGGGTGTATTTGGAGGACTTGGTCAGAAGCCGAGCACAGGCCTTCTGAACCACCTGTAGATGGTTCAGGGAGGTTCTGCTCAGACACGTGAAAAGAGAGTTACAGTAGTCTAAGCGTGAGGAGATGAAGGTGTGGAGAACTGTCTCAAGTTCAGAGCAGGACAGAATGGGACTCAGCTTAGCAATGTTCCTGAGATGGAAGAAGGAAGAGTGAACAAGAGAGCTGACATGAGAATCCAGGGTGAGGGCTGTGTCAAAGGTCACGCCAAGATTCCTGACAGAAGGTTTGGTGTGGGAAGCAAGCTGACCAAGAGAGTCTCTGACTTTGGGAACCAGCTTGTCTGGGGCACAGATGAGGATCTCAGTCTTATTTTCATTCAGCTGTAGAAAGCTCCCAGCCATCCAGGTTTTAATAGAGTCTAAGCAGGTGTGTAACAGCTGCAGCTTAGACATCTCATGGGGCTTAAAGGAGATGTACAGTTGGATGTCATCTGCATAAAGATGGTAGGAGATTCCTTTGAAGGAGCTCAGGGTTTGCTGAAGAGGAAGCAGATAGAGGAGGAAGAGCAGAGGCCCCAGCACAGAACCTTGTGGGACACCATGGGTAAGGGAGGTGGTGGAGGACCTAAACTTGGAGACGGCCACAGAGAAGGAGTGCTCAGAAAGATAAGAGGAGAACCACTCCAGAGCAGTTCCTGATAGGCCTACCCAGTCTCTCAGCCTCTCCAGTAACAGGTGATGGTCAACAGTAGCCACGTTTACATGCGCATATTTAATCGGATTGAATGCCCATTCAGATTGAAAATTCTGCATGTAAACATGTCAATCAGAATATTCTGATCCGATTCGGCCCGATCGGATTGAAATTTCAATCCGATTGAGAGAGGTGGTTTATTCCGTTCTTCATTCCGATTGACGTGCATGTGCACAGCCATTCGGATTGTTGGGGTAAAACAATGCCCACTGCGCATGTGTGCAACAGCCAGCGGGCCTCTCCGCTGTCATTTGGACTGCCTGACTTCAAAAATGACGGTGTAATTAACAAGCGGCGGCTTTTAAATCCGACAACAAGCCGTCCCGTTTCAGTAATATTTAATTCAGAACTTGCATTTTGTGGAAGTAAAATAAAAATCTGATTATTGCACAAATCATTCGACAAAGATGTTCAAATCTTTACTGGAAATACGCAGGTTTATCGTGGGGGTTGCAGCGCACGGATCCCCGTTTCTGTCAGCTTTGAACACAGCAGCTTCTGCAGCAGGTGATGGAGACACGCTTGTAAAGAACACAGGATAATATCAGTTTTACAGACGTGATTGGAGGCTGATGTTGGGTAGGAAAACGTCCTCGGTTAAATACTCTGGACGACAGTAAAGTCCGTGTTCGTTAAAAGCACGTAAACGCAGATGACCTGAGATGCGGTTCGTTAATGATGAACACAGGCTTCTAAACTTTCTGAACATCTTATGTTATTTTGTTTGAACAGATTTTTCTCAACAGTTTCAGCTGATCGTCACATGTTATTAATAATAAGCCACAACAGAGCTCAGTAATAAAACATGAGGCTAACCCACCCCCCACCCCCCACCCCCGCTCTGTGCCGCAGCGCAGCGCAACAGCTGTCAATTCAGACCTGCGGACCAGCTGATCAAGAGGCAGACATAACCCTCCCTTATTTTAATCAACAATAAAATGCAGCAAAGCATATATCTGCAGTTATTCACTGAAGAAAACGTAACTTCTATGAGCTAAATAAAAATATTAAATTGAATAAATGGATCAGGAAAGCAGGAAGAATAGTTATTTCTGTTTTTACATTTTTCTTTTCGTTTCATGGCGTTTGTTTACAATTTTTCTTTCGTGAAAGGCAACTCTGCCCATGCTCAACCTATTTAATCGGATTAAATGCTTGGTGCATATGTACGCACGGCATGATCGGATCATTTCAGTTCGTGTCCATGTGAACAGAGATTCGGAAATTCCGATCAACCAAGATTTCAATCGGATTGAGGAAATTTGCCACATGAAAACGCAGCTAGTGTCAAAGGCTGCAGTCAGGTCCAGCAGGACCAGAACAGAACAGTCCCCTGCATCACTGAGAGTCAGAAGGTCATTGGAGACCCTAAGAAGAGCTGTTTCAGTAGAATGAGCTCTACGAAAACCAGACTGGAAGCTATCATAGATGTTATGTTCATCAAGAGCAGCTGTGAGTTGTTTAGCCACAACCTTTTCCAAGATCTTGGAGATGAACGGAAGTTTAGAGATGGGTCTGAAGCTGCTATGGAGAGAGGGGTCAAGACTCGGTTTTTTAAGAAGCGGGTGGATTACAGCATTCTTAAAGTAAGCAGGGACCTGACCAGAAACCAGAGAAGCATTAATTATAGAGATCACGCTGGGACCGATGGACTGAAAAGCACTTTTAATCAAAGATGAGGGTAAGATGTTGAGGGGGCATGCAGAGGTCTTCATAGAGTTAACTAGTTTGGTTAACTCAGGCAAAGAAACAGGAACAAAGCTATCTAGGATGATGGGCCTGGTTGGAGTCGGGAGAGGCAGCGATAAGGCTGAAGGAGAGATGCTAGATCTAACCTTATTGACTTTGTCCACAAACACAGAAAGTTCTCACAGTCTGCAACAGAGTGGATGGAGGCTGTAGGATAGGCAGGAAAGACGATGCTGCTGATGGTGTTAAACAGCACCTTGGGGTTCCCTTTGCTCTGGGACACCAGGTTGGAAAAATAGGAAACCCTGGCATCCCTGACTGCGGAGTTAAAGGATGTCAGAAGGTCTGTGAAAGCCAGAAATTTGTTCGTTTGTACTTATTTTCCACCGTAATTTGCAAATACATTCTTTAAAAATCAGTAGGTTTTCTGGATTTATTTTTCTAATTTTCAATTTCTATTTATCTGTCAATGTAGCTGTTTTACAGATGCTTTTAGTGTATTTTATCTTTGTTTTATGGCTTTTAGTTTGTTGTATCTGCCTGTGCAGCACTTTTAAATGTGCTATACAAATTAAATGGTATGGTAAGTTTGTCTCTCATAGTTGAGGTATACCTATGATTAAAATTACAGGCACCTCATCTTTTTAAGTGGGTGAGCGTGCACAGTTGGTGGCTGACTAAATACTTTTTGGCCCCACTGTAACGCTGATCATTGATTGGTTCACACCGTGGTGTTGTGTGCTGTGTGGTGTTATTTACTAGGTGTGTCTGTGTTTTTTCTGCAGGGCCCAGGCTATAGCAATAGGCCAAGCGTTGGTAGATGGACGCTGGTTGGACTGTGTGAGCCACCACGACCAGCTCTTCAGAGATGAGTACGCTCTTTACCGCCCATTACAGGTAAGAGTGATCTTTAAGGGGTCATTTAGGAGCCTTTAAGGGGTCATTTAGGAGCCTGTGTGTGTGTGTGTGTGTGTGTGTGTGTGTGTGTGTGTGTGTGTGTGTGTGTGTGTGTGTGTGTGTGTGTGTGTGTGTGTGTGCGTGTGCGTGTGCGTGCGTGCGTGCGTGCGTGCGTGCGTGCAGTAGAAAGAAATGAATCTCAGTCTGAGTCTATCTAAGCACTTTCAGCCAGCACACCTGTGTAAGCATTGATTCATGCAGGTATTTGATTTTTACAGGCTGCATCTTTGAAGTTGTTGCAGTTGATACTTGTGTGTTCATGAGCTTTGATCTGTTCAGAATGTTGTATTCTTGTTGACATTAAAACTTGCAATAGTAAATAAATTGGTAACTTTAGAAAATTTGCTGCACAATCAGTTTATATCCAGCTACCAAAAAGTTTTGATGTAGATTAAAGAGTCTTGCAGAGGCATACGAAGCTTTAAATCTGGCAGATTTAATAGTTGAGCCATTTGAAATCTGCATATGACTGTTGTTGTGAATGTTTCTGGAATTTTGACACTGCCTTCATTTTCAGTTTGTCTGACCTGACGCCAATGGTTATTAAGCAGTCTTTAACAGGTTTATACATTTTAAAGAGCAAGTCACCCCCCTACCAGAGTCACACTCCACTCCTACTTCATGTTTGATAAATGCAACAAATGCTGTTGCCTGGCGGAGCCATTAACAACTACACTCACACACAGGCTCACAAACACATTGTGACGACATAATGTACAAGCGAACATCATAGTGTACCTCTTAGCCAATAGCGGTGGCAGAGTTTTTACCTGAAGACGGCACAACACTGACAGTTTTAGGCAGAAGATTTAACTTTAAACTAAGATGCACTAAAGTGCCAAATTATTGACCACACGTGTCTGCAGCACAATTAGACACTCGTTTAAATAGTTTACCAGCAAAAAAACATGATGTGGAGGTGACTTGCTCTTTAATTTGAAGTGCTTATTCTGCCTTTAATAAGTCTTTAAAGACCTCCTCATGACCCTTTATGTCAGGGCACTTCACATCTAGGCCTCGAGGGCCGGTATCAAGCACTTTTTAGTGGTTTCTGTGCTTCAACACTCTATAGATTCGGTGGTTGAGTCACCTGTGCAGCAGCTCATCAGGCTCTGCAGAAGCCTGTTAATCACCTGCTGATTCAAATCAGGTGTGTTCAAGCAGGGTTAAAACCAAAACGTGCTGGATACTGGCCCTTGAGGCCTGGAACTGAATAGCCCTACTTTATGTTTTAGGTCTTTTAGGTAGTAGAGGGTTTTAAAGGACTCTTAATAGCTGTAAAAGTGTCCCTAAAGACCTCTTGATGTCATGTTTCTTGGGTCATGTTTGATTGCCTAACAAAGGTGACACCTCTGTCTGCTCTGTAGAGTACTGAGTTTTCTGAAACGCCATCTCCAGATAGTGACAGCGTCAACTCAATTGAAGGTCATTCAGAGCCATCCTGGTTTAAGGACATCAAGTTTGATGACAGTGACACGGAGCAGCTCGCAGAGGGTTTGGACTACACTACACCCAGTAGGTGTCCTTCATAACTCCTTCTTGGATCTGTCTAAAGTCAAATCAGTGTTGGTTACTTGTCCACTAAACCTTTCTGTGCACAGACTCTGCCAGTCCCAGTAAGAGGACGTCTGTCAGCAGCGTCCAGTCTGTGGTGGACAGTGACTCTGCTGCCTCCATCAACCTGAACATGGAGCAGAACAACGTCAACTTTCACATCAAAAAGCAGTCGAGATATCCTCACGTTCCTCCAGCTACAGAGCAAAGAGGTAGGGCCGGCCTCTGGTGGGGTGATTGACTTGTTCTGATCGGGCCATGGCGTGTTGCTTTCTGTGCAGTACCTTGAGATGACTTTAGTGATGAACTTACCCTGGCTTATGGTTTGTTTTTAAGAGCAGGTCAGTGGCGGCTGGTGAAAAATATTTTTGGTGGGGCTGTGCTATTTTTTTTAAAACAAACTTGTGCTTTCTGAGCTTTGTGCACAACTTCACTATTTCCTGAATTAAGCACAGCTCTTTTATTGCCTTACATCATTGGACAAACTGACTAATCCAGGTGTGTCTGACTATTGGCACGCTGCCTTGCGGACCAAGGTTGAAAAATACTGCATTAAATTGCACATAAAATAACATGACCATAAATGGTAAATAGGCAATGCAAGAGGCAAGTAACAAAAACATTTTGTTTAATTTCAACATTTGAGTGAACACGAAAAATTATGAGCAGGTCACTGTTACAGTAATGGTAGTAAACACTACTTAGACAAAATGCCAGAAATTTACACTGTTAGGACTTATGGAAAGTGGAAACACTTTCATAGGAAATAATGTCATCAGTATCCTCTTACAAATGTCATATTTCCCACTTCCCAAGCTGGGAAATTTGTTTGCTGCAGCAGAAGTGTAACTAGTAAAATGGAATCAGATTGATGTATGTACAAATTTACATGAAATACACATTTACATGATTAAATATGTATAATAGGTATGTGTGTTGAAATTAGTTTTTACAGTTATTGCACATTAAACATGTTATTAAACAAATGTCCCGGTTTGTGGGACAACCAAGGATTTCTGATTCTGATGGTCTTGTTTACAGAAATGTAATGTACAGCTTACCTCTGCACCCAGCTGCTGTTCTTCCTGTCCAAACGTCCTCCGTTTCTTTGTTGGCTGCTGCACTGATGCGCTGCATTCCTCAGTCAGAGAATGAATGGAGTCCCCAATGAGACACAAGTTCCACATCCACCTTCTGTGGATCCCAGCCGTTTTGAATAACAAACACAGAAAGCAAAATAACGCATTAGCGTGATTGCATCCAGCTAGCCACTGCTTCCTGGTGTACCAGTTTTGGGAGAAGCCTCGTGTGTACAGTTTACCTCTCTCCTTCTCCTGCTGGCTTATCTTTACGTCGGGCTGATCTGGTCCAAGCTCTTTGACATTAAGTTTTTCCACCATAGTTCTCCTCTCGAACGGATACTGGAGGAGACCGAACTGAATTCAGTGGCTGCTGAGATCCGGTATCCATGTTGTAGGCGCACTGTCTACGTCTGCGTCACGACCGTCAAAACGTGCTGGAGTCGAGACTCTCCGAGTTCTACCGAACATCAACGAAAGCCTTGGCGGTAGCTCTATCGCCCATCATGCTTCTGAAACGTTCTGAAACAACATCAACGCTGATTGGATACATTCCCATTCCTACCCTTTGATTTTCTTGTCAGCAATTGGACAACTGGTCCCGTCCTGTTTGGGCGATTGAAAAACAGCACACAGCCTCCACCGCTCGGCAGAGATCGGCAGAGACCAATATAGATATATATATATATGATTTATTTTTGTTACAAAACACACAACTAACTTAGAATATGTGATTATTGTTCATTTTATTTAATTATTTTTTTAAATAAAAATTAAAAACACAGGGGAAACTGGGAGGGTGGCGCCCTATCGCCCTCTACTGGCCAGCCGCCACTGGAGCAGGTTTAGTTTTTTGACAGCTCTGCTACTAGACACTAGCCTAGTGAACTTGACCAAATTCTTGCTTTGCAAGGAATGGTCTAGGCATGCTCCATTGGAACCTCAGCAGCTCCTACCAGGACTCTGGCTAGCCAATCACAGCTCCCTAGAGGGGTTTCAAACACAAAAAGAGCTGTTATTGGTCCATAATGGTGGGCCAATCATAGTGCTCTATCTGCTTAGTGAACGAATCACAGAGCTTTATCCGCTTTGTGGGCCAATCAGGGCACTCTATATGCCTGGTGGGTGGGATGATGCAACAGAGTGAAACAAGAGTATGTCACATGCATTGTCCAGTGGAATGCGGAGATCATTTGAAAGACAACGGTAGAACCCGCCCCACAACCGAGAGCCGTCAATGGAGCGTGGCCAGACTAAATAATACATTTATTTAGTCTGGCTTGCCAGGCTAACTAGACACTGCTTTTTACTTGACTCATTTCCATTGATAAGCATGAGCATCCTTAAGTGTTGAATCCCAGCTCCAGATCTCCCAGGCCAGAACCGGAAATGACTTGAGACCGGCTCTCCATCCCTCAGATCCAAAACCTTTACGCCTGTTGAGTATTACCCGATACAGGATCTCTAAAGGCTTTGTTGGTGATGAGCAGACTCACCTAGACTCTGTCGGCATTTCTCCGAATGTTTTACCCTGATTCCTCCACAATGTTCCTCCCCTTGAGTAGCCCTGACAGTGGGTAAAACGGTACGGTCATGCCCATGAGCTGCACATCTCCTGCTGTGATTCTGGCTGGTACCGGTCTGAGTAACTTGGAAAAACTGTTACAAGGTTATTAATGTAATAATTGGGTTAAAGCAATATATATATGTGTGTGTATATATATATATATATATATATATATATATATATATTTTTTTTTTTTTTTTTTTTTTCTCTCAACGAGACCAGCGATCATAGGCGGAAGTCCCGGGGGACAGAATAAAGTTGCCTCACCAAATTTGGGCTTATAAACGTATTTAACAGTAATGTGGTGTTTTTGTGATTCCTGCCCTTTCCCAGTAACGCGTCCCTGTTAAGGAGCTGCACCTGTGTTCCTCCCGCTGCAGTACTCTCCTGACCAGGGTTTTATTAAACTGTGCTGAGGTGGTGGACTTGGCAAATGCTGAAAAAATCAAAGGTTTTGCTGCACTTTGCTAAGTTAAAGGAAACCGAGCTAAATTATGTCTCTAAATATGGAAATACCAACAGTTTCATGAAGCACCTCGTTATTTAATCTGTGAGCAGAAGCATAGCCAGTGTGTGTGGTCGGCCATTTTAACTTCTGATCCACAATCACACCTTTTTGTATCCTAAATGCTATTTGAGACAGCAACAATATAATTGATCCACATGTTATTCTTACCAGTTATTATTGAGGCTAAAGCTGCCAGCAGCTAACAACTGCAGAAGTAGAAATGAAGTTTAGGAAATTTCAAACCCTTAAAAAGCTAATGGGTGGTGGTTTTATCTTTTATTAGGCAGACCTCAATAACACAAAGAAGCCTGGTGTGTTGTGTAAAAACTGCTGTTTTTAGCATATGTGGGTCTGACGTGTAGCTACCAGATGTAGTGTGTGAGCACACGACTCGTAAGATCTGCTCTGCGGGAAAGTCGTACAGTTTGAGCTGAAGCTGAGTTTAAAGGAGACCACTGAGTCCACTGATCTCAGGCTCAGGGGGAGAGAGGTCCAGAGTATGGGGGCCAAAGCAGCAGATGATCTGTCACCTTTGACCTTTAACCTCGTGCTGCACAACCAGTAGGCTTTGGTCACTGGACCTCAGGGACCTGCTGGGGGTGTAGGATTGTAAAACTCATAACTAAGGTTAATTACAAGCTTTTTCTGTTAAACTCCTAGCAGACTTCCCTGTATCAGAGGACGGAGGCCAGAACATCACCATTAGTGATGCCTTCATCAAAGGTACCAACTCCGTATTTCCTGCTTAATTTATTCACATTGAGTCGATTCATCCTGACCAGCAGTGTTTGCTGCAGAATCACTGTTTAACCGCCAAGTGGAGGAGAAGGCCAAAGAGATGCTGTTCACCCCACTGGGATGGCACCACAGCTCCCTGGATCAGCTGCGAGAGGAGAACGGGGAGAAGGCCGCCATGGAGAGGCTTCTGTGAGTGCAGTGTGTGTGTGCGTGTGTGTGTTGGGTATTTTTATATCCTGAAATGAACCGCACAGGAGAGAAGTCAGTAGGTTTTTTTACGCTGCGAGAGGCAGCGGAGAGAGGGACTAGCTCAGAACCTGTTTAGGCCCTGTTTAACCTAACTAAACCTTTAGTCACCATACCTCTCATACCAGCTGGTATCTGTTTCATTGTTTTCAGCTCAGCCAACCACAGCCACATGATGGCTCTGCTGCAGCAGCTGCTCTTTAGGGAGTCTTTGTCTCTGTCCTGGAGAGACATTATTGTCCCCGTGGTCCGGCAGGTCGTCCAGACCGTCCACCCAGACGTTCGCAACTGTGATGATGACATGGACATCCGCCAGCTGGTACACATAAAGAAGGTGAGATAATGCTCTTGTTCAGGACCTGTGATCCGTTTTTGGTCCAAATGAATTAGGTCCAATGTCTCCTTGTCATTTAGATTCCTGGTGGCAGAAAGTTTGACTCCATGATTGTTAACGGCTTTGTTTGCACCAAGAATATCGCCCATAAGAAGGTAGTGCTTTATGTTTGGTCCTTGTGTGATTCATCTTAGTAACTGACGGATGTAGGAGGAGCTTAGGTGTGTTTATTAGACAGGATCTACAAGGAATTAGTTCAAAATGAAAAAGCTATATAAAATGCAACCTTCTTTACTCAAAGTGAACCTTTGTTCAGTGCTGTTGATGAGCTGTCACTGTGACTTGATCCAGATGAATGCCTACATCAAGAACCCAAAGATTCTGCTGCTGAAGTGCTCTATAGAGTACCTGTACAGGGAGGAGACCAAGTTCACCTGCATTGAGCCCATTGTACTACAGGTGAGAGGATGAGACGAGCCCTTGCTGTTGATTTCTTTGAATTGGACATTTTTTTCTCTGGTTCTGTTTCAGGAGCGGGAGTTTCTTAAAAACTACGTGCAGCGCATTGTAGACGTCCGTCCAAATCTGGTGCTGGTGGAGAAGACGGTGTCTCGTATAGCTCAGGACATGCTGCTGGAGCATGGGATCACACTTGTCATCAATGTCAAACCGGTGAGTGGAGCTGTAAATCTGGTTTTGGGGGAACAGTCTGGATCTAGAACTTGTCACAGGACCACTTGAGAGGTTCTGTATCTGTCAGGACTAGATTTTATACTGATTTCTATGCATCTGATCATGGGTGAGTTTTGATGTTCCTCTCTTAGACCTGGTCCACCAGTACTTGAGGATTGCTGTAAAGACTCTGACAAGTCAGTGACTCAATGCAACCTGCTGGGTTCCTTATACATTAAACTTTTTAGTGATTCTAGAACATTGCATATAATCCTTACTAAAACCGTACTTAAGCTCAGCAAAAAAGTGTGCGTACGCCAAGCAGGTTTGTGACCTATCAAACATGGAGTACACACAGCTTCTCGCTATCTCCGCTTCATAAATCAGAGAATATCTAGAAATGTTCTCAGGTGTTTCTGGATCACGTCCCGCCCTCAACACGCCCACTTTCTGCCATAAATGGTCAATGCAAAGTGCCTTGTGGATCTCATGCGTATACATAAGCCGGCTCGTTGCAGCGCTCCACCATTAACGATGGCGACCGCAGATCAAGGAAGCGCAATTTCACCGAAGCAGACATTGAGCTACTTGTGGGTGAGGTGGCTGTGTGACATGAAGCAGTACAAGTGATAATGCAGTAGCAGCACTGCAGGTCCTCTCCATGTCCAACGTGCGCGTAAGCCAGGTCCTTAGTCAACTTAAAGTTGTGCACATTTTTACGCTAAGTTTTCTTTCATAAATCCCAAAGTTTGCGTGGAAAGCTGCTTACACAGTTTTGCGACCCCGTTTTGTGCGTAAGCAGTCTTGATAAATGAGGCCCCTGGTCTGTATTGGAATGTTTACTGTGTGAAGGTCCTTGAGACGACTCTTGTCATGATTTGGTGTTTTATAAATAAACTGAATTGAAATTACTAACTCAGCACCGCCTGGTTCTAGGGCTTTTCCACTTGTAACAGGTACCAGGTTTCCACCCTTTTTTCAGTACCTGTTGTGATGGGGTTCTAGTTAGCGGCGGTGGGCGATATGGAAAAAAAGCATATCACAATTGTAACACGATTTTCTTTCTATTTCAGCAATTCAGACATTTTGTAGGTTATTTACCATTAAAATACATAATTTTAACATCGTATCTCTTTACAGAAAATAGGATAAAATATTTGAGAATCCAAAAACTGTCTGTCTGTCTGTCTGATCGGTCCACATGTCTCAAACTTTGATTTAATTATGTGTTTATAATTTAAATTCTATCTAGAGATGGCTCATATCCTATCATCCACACTATTACCAGTAATTATTTCTTGTACAGAGAAAAACAAATCCATCATGTCAAGTTAAATTCATGATGCATCCTTATCTCACGCATCCTTTAGTCAGAATTACATTCCTGCTATTTGTCCCTCCCTGATCTCCAGAGCTGGTTTCTCACTAGGCGGGGGAGGGGTTTGGTACAAGGCTTCGGTCAAGGCTCGCTAAAGCACACATGAACATCCCATCCATCCATCCATCCATCCATCCATCCATCCATCCATCCATTTATTTTCATCTGCTTATCCGGAGTCGGGTCGCGGGGGCAGTAGCCTAAGGCGAGAGGCCCGGACTTCCCTCTCCCCAGCCACTTGGGCCAGTCCCTCTGGGGGAATCCCAAGACATTCCCTGGCCAGGTGAGAGACATAGTCCCTCCACCATGTCCTCCTGGGTCTACCTTTAGGTCTCCTCCCGGTTAGACGTGCCCGGAAAACCTCACCAGGGAGGCGTCCAGGAGGCATCCTGACCAGATGCCCGAGCCATCTCAACTGGCTCCTCTCAATGTAGAGGAGCAGCGGATCTACTCCGAGCCCCTCCCGGATGACCGAGCTTCTTACCCTATCTCTAAAGGAAAGCCCAGCCACCCTGAGGAGAAAACTCATTTTGGCCGCTTGTATCCGCAATCTCGTTCTTTCGGTCATTACCCAAAGCTCATGACCATAGGTGAGGGTAGGAACGTAGATCGACCGGTAAATCGAGAGCTTCACCTTCTGACTCAGCTCTCTCTTCACCACGACAGACCGGTACTACACCCGCATCACTGCAGAAGCAGCACTAATCCGCCTATCTATCTCACGCTCCAGTTTTCCCTCACTCGTGAACAAGACCCCGAGATACTTAAACTTCTCCACTTGGGGCAGGACCTCATCCCTGACCCGGACTTTCACTTAACTAATTATTTTAATTTAAAAACATGTAAATAAATAAGTGCGTCTTTAGTGAATTGATTTAACTACCAGTAAATAAAATTGTTAAATTATAATTAATATTTTACGTCAAAAAATAATGTAACGAGGGTCGTTTAATTCAACTTAATTTTCTCAAGTATTTTTTTTATGTGTAATTTTGATATGGTTTAATAAAAGGATGTGATTAAAATCTACTTAAACTGAGTGCAAATTGTTACACAAATTTTATTGGTTAAATCAGTTTCTTTTTACAGTGTAAAGGTCAGAGGTCAGTACAATACCAACTTTTAAAAAGGTGCCAATGCCCGCGAGGACATTGTTCTACAGAATTCAAAGATACGTTGCGTGAGACACTCCCACATCTTCCAGTTGGGCTGAAACGACCTGTGGTTGGGGCATGGAAATAAACTGTACTGCCTTTGAGTGACCCCTTCTTTCCACGGGAGCCGTCAGCAGCACGTTACTGCAGCAGCACGTCATGCTCGCGTAAGCTGCTGCTTGGCCCTTCCCACGAGACGCGTAGCAGCAGGGGAGCAGCTGTCACCGACAGAGCACGAAGTCACACGAGTGACTTCGTCAGTAAACACAACAACAAGCAGGAGAAAACTACAACATGGCTCCAAAGGGTTTGTGTTTTATGTTCTGTCCGTTTTATAATCGCCAATACGGACCTGAAAAACAAAGGAGACCGCTAGCTAGGTGATAACTTCTCACGGGGCCACACGGTTAGTAACTTTTTTTTAAAGTAAAGCAACCGGAAGGCAGTACGTTCTTTATTCTGAAAATCTCGGGAAGCTTCGCTCCATTTCCACGTCCAATTTCCTGTCTTTCCTTCCCCAAAAATGTCGAACTTGACCCGTTTCAGAGGCGTCGCGCGTAGAAAATAGAACCGGCGCGTAAAGGCCGCGACATGCTGCTCCCGAGACGCGGCCGACTCGCGCTGCTGACGGCTCCAGTGGACAAGGTTCTGTTGACCACAGCGGTTCCTATCAGCAGCTATGACGTGCTGCTGCAGTAACGTGCTGCTGACGGCTCCCGTGGGAAGAAGGGGTGACAGTGTTGTTGCAGCAGTGAGCTGTGTGGCAGAAGGAAAGATCTGCTCCTGACCTAGAAAGAGGTCAGATCTTGTAATAACTGGTTCTACCTCTCATTACAGCAAGTATTGGACAGAGTGAGTCGCGTCACGCAGGGGGACCTGGTGATGTCCATGGACCAGCTCCTCACAAAACCTCGCTTGGGAACATGCCACAAGTTCTATCTGCAGTCCTTCACCTTGCTGAACAGTAAGCTTGGTCTTCCTCCTGCCAAGACTTCTGCCCAAACACAACTCCTCTTCATCTCTCGCTCTCTGTTTCCAGATGAAGTGAAGACTCTGATGTTCTTTGATGGCTGTCCTCCTCATCTTGGATGCTCCATCAAGCTACGGGGTCCTTCAGAGTATGAGCTGTCCAGGGTGAAGGAGATCATAATGGTAATGGTGTGTGTGGCCTACCACTCTCAGCTGGAGATCTCCTTCCTCATGGATGAGTTTGCCATGCCACCCAGCTCACCGCAGAGCAGCTCTTTCCTGTGTCTACTGGATGAAGCTGCTGAAGATGGTATGGTGGACAAAGACACCCTGCGCAGAAGTAAGCAGAGTGAAGACTCCATTTTAGGACAGTTAGGAGAAGTTCCTCCATTAGAACCTTCATCCAAAAGAGAAGATCTGTGTGTTGACCCAGAAGATGCTGCTAATATAAAGACCAGAACCTCATCACCATTCTCCAGCCCTGCTCCTCCTCTGGTTATCCCCTCACTGGTCTTTATCGAGGCTGACCAGGAGATTGGGTCTGACACCCTGATAAGGACTTCTGAGCCAGATACGAGAGAAGAGGACTCATTGGTTTTAGGGACTGAGGAGCACTCGGTGACCCCAAAGTTCTTCCGAGACCCTCTGCAGGACGATACGGGATTGTTTGTGGCTGAACAGGTGGACTCTTCAGACGACCGCCTGAAGTCCATCTCTGCTATGTTCAAACATGAGCTGAAGGACATCATCTTGTGCATCTCCCCATTCATCACGTTCAGGGAGCCATTCCTACTGACGCCTGCAGGCATGCACTGCCCCAGCAGAGACTATTTCTCTGAGCAGGTACACTTCTACTGGCCAGTCTACAAGCCCTAACCCTACATGTGAAATATGACTTGCAACAATGAAAGCTAATCAATGATCTCAGTCAGAAAGAAAGAAAACAATGTTTTATAAAGTGCCTCTCAAGGTAAAAATCAATGCGGTGCTTCAAAAAAACAGTTAAAAACATTTTTAAATGACTACAAATATGTTTGAAAGAAGGAAAAATAAAAATTGTGATTTAAAAAAAATGTAAGGAAAGAGAAATCAGTGGATGCCAGGAAAGGCGGAACAAGAGCAGAACCAGGAGTGGGTGGAGACGAAGGTCCCACCAAACCTGAACAGGTGAGTTTAAAGGAGACCACCGAGTCCACTGATCTCAGGCTCAGGAGGAGAGAGGTCCAGGGTCTGGGGGCCACAGCAGCAAATTATCTGTCACCTTTGACCTTTAGCCTCGTGCTGCACAACCAGTAGGCTTTGGTCACTGGACCTCAGGGACCTGCTTGGGGTGTAGGGACTAAGAAGATCACCAATTTAAGATGGTGCTTGTCCATGTAAGGCCCTATAGACCAGAACCAGGATCTAGAAATGAACCCTGAAGTTGACTGGCAGCCAGTGAAGCTGGAGAAGAAGCGGGGTGATGTGGGTGTATTTGGAGGACTTGGTCAGAAGCCGATCACAGGCATTCTGAACCACCTGTAGACGGTTCAGGGAGGTTCTGCTCAGACACGTGAAAAGAGAGTTACAGTAGTCTAAGCGTGATGAGATGAAGGTGTGGAGAACAGTCTCAAGTTCAGAGGGGACAGAATGGGACTCAGCTTAGCAATGTTCCTGAGATGGAAGAAGGAAGAGCGAACGAGAACTGACATGAGAATCCAGGATAAGAGCTGGGTCTGAAGCTGCTATGGAGAGAGGGGTCGAGACTCGGTTTTTTAAGAAGCGGGTGGATTACAGCATTCTTAAAGTAAGCTGGGACCTGACCAGAAACCAGAGAAGCATTAATTATAGAGAGCACGCTGGGACCGATGGACTGAAAAGCACTTTTAAACAAAGATGAGGGTAAGATGTCGAGGGGGCATGCAGAGGTCTTCATAGAGTTAACTAGTTTGGTTAACTCAGGCAAAGAAACAGGAGCAAAGCTATCTAGGATGATGGGTCTGGTTGGAGTCGGGAGAGGCGGCGATAAGGCTGAAGGAGAGATGCTAGATCTAACCTTATTGACTGTCCACAAAGAAAGACCGAAAGTTCTCACAATCTGCAACAGAGTGGATGGAGGCTGTAGGATAGGCAGGAAAGACGATGCTGCTGATGGTGTTAAACAGCACCTTGGGGTTCCCTTTGCTCTGGGACACCAGGTTGGAGAAATAGGAAACCCTGGCATCCCTGACTGCAGAGTTAAAGGATGTCAGAAGATCCTTTAGGTGCAGCAGATGGATGTGGAGATGGGTTTTCTTCCACAAGGGCTCAGATTGTATGTGTACATACATATACACACACACACACACAGGTGCTGGCCAGTAAATTAGAATATCATCAAAAGGTTGAAAATATTTCAGTAATTCCATTCAAAACGTGAAACTTGTACATTATATTCATGCAATGCACACAGACCAATGTATTTCCGATGTTTATTACGTTTAATTTTGATATTTATAGGTGACAACCAATGAAAACATCAAATCTGGTATCTCAGAAAATTAGAATATTCTAAAGGCCAATGAAAAAATGTTTGTTTCTCTAATGTTGGCCAACTGAAAAGAATGAACATGAAAAGAATGTGCATGTATAGCACTCAATACTTAGTCGGGGCTCCTTTTGCCTCAATAACTGCAGTAATGCGGCGTGGCATGGACTCGATCAGTCTGTGGCACTGCTCAGGTGTTATGAGAGCCCAGGTTGCTCTGATAGTCGTCTTCAGCTCCTCTGCATTGTTGGGTCTAGCGTATTGCATCCTCCGCTTCACAATACCCCATAGATTTTCTATGGGGTTAAGGTCAGGCGAGTTTGCTGGCCAATCAAGGACAGGGATACCATGGTCCTTGAACCAGGTGCTGGTGGTTTTGGCACTGTGTGCAGGTGCCAAGTCCTGTTGAAAGGTGAAGTCTGCATCCCCATAAAGTTGGTCAGCAGCAGGAAGCATGAAGTGCTCTAAAACTTCCTGGTAGACGGCTGCATTGACCCTGGACCTCAGGAAACAGAGTGGGCCAACACCGGCAGATGACATGGCACCCCACACCATCACTGACGGTGGAAACTTTACACTGGACCTCATGCAACGTGGATTCTGTGCTTCTCCGCTCTTCCTCCAGACTCTGGGTCCTTGATTTCCAAAGGAAACTTGCTTTCATCAGAAAACATAACTTTGGACCACTCAGCATCAGTCCAGTCCTTTTTGTCCTTGGCCCAGGCGAGACGCTTCTTGCGCTGTTTCTTGTTCAGGATTGGCTTGACACACGGAATGCGACACCTGAATCCCATGTCTTTCATGAGTCTCCTCGTGGTGGTTCTTGAAGCGCTGACTCCAGCTGCAGTCCACTCTTTGTGGATCTCCCCCACATTTTTGAATGGGTTTGTCGTCACAATTCTCTGCAGGGTGCGGTTATCCCTAGAGCTTGTACACTTTTTTCTACCACATTTTTTCCGTCCCTTCGCCTGTCTGTTAATGTGCTTGGACACAGAGCTCTGCGAACAGCCAGCTTCTTTAGCAATCACCTTTTGTGTCTTGCCCTCCTTGTGCAAGGTGTCAATGATTGTCTTTTGGACAGCTGTTAAGTCAGAAGTCTTCCCCATGATTGTGGTGCCTTCAAAACAAGACTGAGGGACCTTTTAAAGGCCTTTGCAGGTGTTTTGAGTAAATCAGCTGATTAGAGTGGCAGCAGGTGTCTTCTATATTCAGCCTTTTCAGAATATTCTAATTTTTTGAGATACCAAATTTGGAGTTTTCATTAGTTGTCACTTATGAATATCAAATTTAAATGTAATGAACATTGGAAATACATTGGTCTGTGTGCATTGCATGAATATAATGTACAAGTTTCACGTTTTGAATGGAATTACTGAAATATTTTCAACCTTTTGATGATATTCTAATTTACTGGCCAGCACCTGTATATATATATATATATATATATATATATATATATATATATATATATGTGTGTGTGTGTGTGTGTGTGTGTGTGTGTGTGTACATATGTATATATATGTGTGTGTGTGTGTGCGCGCACACGTACGTATATATGTATATATGTGTATATGTATATATATATATATATATATATATATATATATATATATATATATATATATATCTGTATATACATATACAGATATATATGTGTGTGTGTGTGTGTGTTCATAAGTTGATTAGTTCATTGCAATAACGCCTTTAATATAATTGTAGAAGGCCTTAAAGGTCTTGAAAAGTTATTAAATTTAATTTTGAAATCCCTGCATGTACACTGTTGGATGACAGTTGAAACGTCTTAAAGACAACCTGACAAGTCACAACTTAAACTTCTTTGCTCTTCCTCTACTAGGTCTACTTCTCTCCTCTCCTGAACAAGGACCTGAAGGAGCTGGATGGGCGCAGAAAGCGCCAGCTACTCAAAGACATGGCTCCCTCCTGTCAGGTCAACGGACAGACCAATGGCAGCATGCAGCTGAGGTTTACTGACCTTCTGCCCTGTCACAGTCTGACCACAACCCGCATTGTGGAGCAACTTGGCACCAGCCAGAATCTGACTAGGATGCTAGCAGACTATCGGGCTAATGGGGGCCGAATTCAGCAGAAAGAAAGCAGCAACCCCTTTGGCTCTGCTGGCCCTGTTGGTTTTGGAGCTGGTGGGCCGAGCCGCACACCCGACCTTCTCGTCAGACTGCCAGTGAAGACCAATGATGAGGAGGTGAAGATGAGCAGACAAACAGACGTGGGCTGGACCTCTAAGGTGAGCTATATGTCTCTGGTGAGTTTGGCATTGGTTCTGGGAATGCTATGCACAGAACAATGTTAGGCAACAATGGAGGAATATGGAATGTACTGGGAATTTGTCCACATTGTCCACCCCCCTGGACATTGGTCACCAGTGCAAGTACCTCCACCCAACGGCCAGGCGAACACTCAATGCTTCGTTGGTGTGCTCCACCCCTCTACCCATCACCACACACACAGAACACAGAGTGAGTAGTTTCAGGTAGCTAAAGCCAGGCGTCCACTGAGTGACTTTTTCACTCGTAGCATTCAGCTCCATCTCAAACTATACAACGTCCTTGCAGACCAAAGCTCATGAGTCATGTTCTCACACTGTACGACCCAGTTCTCGGATGCAACCCGACTGCTCACGCTGTACGTCTGGTAGCAACACGTCAGACCTTCAAGTCCGAAAACCCAGAAGAACTGGAGGCAGTTGTGTTGTTATTAATGTCTGTTGTCCTCTGGGCTCGCCGTAGGAGAATATGCAGGGATTAATGGGGGTTGAAGGAGAAAGACGACAGAAAGAAAGTAAAACAATGTTTTGGGATCCATTTTATTTGACATAAACACGGAAAACACACTTTCTTACCAATACTTGTCATTATGTGTGGAGAAAAGTGTAAAAAAAACATGCATTGATATGAAAATAGTTGGTGAGCCGTGTTGACGCATGCGCTGTGTGGGCAATGCTGTACTTATGGGTTGGAGCGCTGCTTCAACTGTATTACCTTATGAGGGATGAGCAAAATACCAATTGTGTTCGACATTCATGCAACAGCAAGATTGCTGATCGGGAACTGGTTTAAAGTGTTAATCGCTTCTCTTAACCTGTGTACTACACACCGCAAAACTCTGTTATAACGAGATGAATTGCATTTCTTGCAGAAATGCTGTTTGAATGCTGAATTCTGAAACTTATTGGTGAAGCTTCCTAAGATCTAAACTGAAGCTGAAACTGAGCTTAATTGTCAACGGTAGCAGAATGTATTGGAAAAATATGAAGTTTTAGTAGAAAACCCAAATATTACATAGAGACAGAGCTTAAAGTGCAAATTCAATGCTACATTTTATTTTAATTTCATATAAGACACTGTCCAAAACTTCTGACCGGAGGATCACAATCCCAGTGAGGTGATGGGAGTTCAACATGCCTCCTATCCTCCAGAGCCCTGTGGCAGAGTTTGAAAAGTACTCGCTGGGTCCAAGAACCCAGGTCAGCATTGGAACCAGGTCAGGGAGGTCCGCACTGAGCTCCAGAAGCAGATGGAGAGGTTTTAAAAATTCCTGTATTGGCCCAACTTCACTGGCTCCCAGTTGATTATCAGGTTAAGTTTAAAACCTTGCTGTATGCATATAAGGCCCTACAGGGCAGTGCCCCAATTATCTCTCCTCACTGCTCCATAGATTCGCCCCCTCAAGGGCCTTGCGTTCCCTAGACAGGGAGCTCTTGGAGTTGCCACGCTCTAGACACAACTCTAGGGTGATCATGCATTCTCTTATGGAACGTGCAGGTGCCATCCCTCCAGTCTTTTAAGTCTCTCTTAAAGACACACTTTTACCAATTGGCCTTTTCCCATTGAGTCACAAGTCAGTCTTGGCTTTATTGTGATTTAAATATTTTATTGTCTTGCAGTTTTATTTGACCATTTTTTATTGTCTGAGTGTTTTTAAATATTCTTTTACGATGGTTTTGCTTAATTTTTTTACTGTGAAAGTGTACAGCACCTTGGGCTACAAAGGTAGTGGAAGGTACTGTAGAAACAAATGATGATGATGAAAAACATTTTCCTCACAAAAACGACTGCAAAGTTTATTTACGTGTACATTATTATTTAGAACAAGTTTCTGTTGTGTTTCTCTAAATGTTTGTTCAACGGAGGCTCTAACCTGCAATTTGCTCTTTAAAAGTAGGTGAAAATTGGTTTAAAATGTCCTAAACAGCAGAAAGCACAAACCTGTGAAGTTGGTGTAAAAACTGGACAGCTGAACTGTTTAAAGGGTTGTCATTTTAGCAGAAATAGTTGAAGTGTCATTATGAGAAACCTCAACATGGTAAAATGCCATTTAAAAAAGAATCAAAGGTTAAAGTTGTTTTGGTCAAGTTTTCTGGAACACCTAGAGGGCAACAGAAAAAACATGAAGTCACTTAAAAGTAAAAGAAAACAGGAATCCTAAGCAGCAGAAAGCAGAAAATCCTGAATTTGCTTTAAACCAAAGGGGTTCGAATGAAGGCAACAGTACTTCTTTATTTGAACCACTTTTGATTACCATGGCCTGGATGACAGAGAACTTTCACCCGCATAATTTACTTAACTGTTTAGACAGCTGACATTTTATACAGTGGGGCGAAAAAGTATTTAGTCAGCCACCGATTGTGCAAGTTCTCCCACTTAAAATGATGACAGAGGTCAGTAATTTACATCATAGGTACATTTCAACTGTGAGAGACAGAATGTGAAAAAAATCCATGAATTCACATGGCAGGATTTTTAAAGAATTTATTTGTAAATCAGGGTGGAAAATAAGTATTTGGTCAATAACAAGAATTCAACTCATTACTTTGTAACATAACCTTTGTTGGCAAAAACAGAGGTCAAACGATTACTATAGGTCTTTACCAGGTTTGCACACGCAGTAGCTGGTATTTTGGCCCATTCCTCCATGCAGATCTTCTCGATAGCAGTGATGTTTTGGGGCTGTCGCCGAGCAACACGGACTTTCAACTCCCTCCACAGATTTTCTATGGGGTTGAGGTCTGGAGACTGGCTAGGCCACTCCAGGACTTTCAAATGCTTCTTACGGAGCCACTCCTTTGTTGCCCGGGTGGTGTGTTTGGGATCATTGTCGTGTTGGAAGACCCAGCCACGTTTCATCTTCAAAGCTCTCACTGATGGAAGAAGGTTTTGGCTCAGAATCTCACGATACATGGCCCCATTCATTCTGTCCTTAACACGGATCAGTCGTCCTGTCCCCTTAGCAGAAAAACAGCCCCAAAGCATGATGTTCCCACCCCCATGCTTCACAGTAGGTATGGTGTTCTTGGGATGCAACTCAGTATTCTTCTTCCTCCAAACACGACGAGTTGAGTTTATACCAAAAAGTTCTACTTTGGTTTCATCTGACCACATGACATTCTCCCAATCCTCTGCTGTATCATCCATGTGCTCTCTGGCAAACTTCAGACGGGCCTGGACATGCACTGGCTTCAGCAGCGGAACACATCTGGCACTGCAGGATTTGATTTCCTGCCGTTGTAGTGTGTTACTGATGGTGACCTTTGTTACTGTGGTCCCAGCTCTCTGCAGGTCATTCACCAGGTCCCCCCGTGTGGTTCTGGGATTCTTGCTCACCGTTCTCATGATCATTTTGACCCCACGGGATGAGATCTTGCATGGAGCCCCAGATCGAGGGAGATTATCAGTGGTCTTGTATGTCTTCCATTTTCTGATAATTGCTCCCACAGTTGATTTTTTCACACCAAGCTGCTTGCCTATTGTAGATTCACTCTTCCCAGTCTGGTGCAGGTCTACAATTCTTTTCCTGGTGTCCTTCGAAAGCTTTTTGGTCTTGGCCATAGTGGAGTTTGGAGTCTGACTGTTTGAGGCTGTGGACAGGTGTCTTTTATACAGATAATGAGTTCAAACAGGTGCCATTAATACAGGTAACGAGTGGAGGACAGAAAAGCTTCTTAGAGAAGACGTTACAGGTCTGTGAGAGCCAGAGATTTTCCTTGTTTGAAGTGACCAAATACTTATTTTCCACCCTGATTTACAAATAAATTCTTTAAAAATCCTGCCATGTGAATTCATCGATTTTTTTTCACATTTTGTCTCTCACAGTTGAAGTGTACCTATGATGTAAATTACTGACCTCTGTCAATTTAAGTGGGAGAACTTGCACAATCGGTGGCTGACTAAATACTTTTTTGCCCCACTGTAATAGTTAGTTTATAATCAGTAGCCAGGCTGTAAAGTATGAATAACGTTTACAAAATATTTAAAATGTGAAGCAGACATCAAAGCTTAAGAAAAGCTAACATTTATGAAAAAGCAACAAGGTGAAAACTCTGAAATGAGTTTTAAAAAATGACATTTATAATTAGAATACTGTGGTAATCAATAGATTTTATAAACTACTATATTTTTGTCTCTGTGTTAAATTATTATAAAGTGTTTCCCTGGATTAACCAAAGTACCTAGTTTCATCTGCAATCGAATATTAAAGACTCAGTAATATTAATAATCCATATTTTTATGGATGATTACATTTTATTGAATACCTTTATATTCTATTGGTAATTTATTCAAAGTAACTATCTGTAAAATGTCACACCCAGTGAGAGTTGGACTCCGCCAAGGCTGCCCCTTGTTACAGACTCTGTTCATAACCTTTATGGACAGGATTTCTAGGTGCAGCCAAGGTGTGGAGGGAATTCTTGTAGGTGGCCTGAGGATCAGGTCTCTGCTTTTTGCAGATGATGTGGTCCTGTTGGCTTCATCAGAACGTGATCTTCAGCTTTCGCTGGAGCGGTTCGCAGCCGAGTGTGAAGCAGCTGGGATGAAAATCGGCTTCTCTAAATCTGAGACCATGGTCTTGATTCGGAAAAGAGTAGAATGCCTTCTCTGGGTCAGGGATGAGGTCCTGCCCCAAGTGGAGGAGTTTAAGTATCTCAGGGTCTTGTTCACGAGTGAGGGAAAACTGGAGCATGAAATCGATAGGCGGATTTGTGCTGCATTTGCAGTGATGCGGGCGTTGTACCGGTCTGTCGTGGTGAAGAGAGTGCTTAGTCAGAAGGCAAATTTCTCTATTCCAATCGATCTACGTTCCTACCCTCACCTATGGTCACAAGCTTTGAGTAGTGACTGAAAGAAGGAGAGTTCTCTGCAGGGTGTCTGGGCTCTCCCTTAGAGATAGGGTGACTAGCTTCGTCATCCAGGAGGGGCTCTGAGTAGACCTGCTGCAACTTCTGGTCGA